AGTATTCCATATGTTGACCCGGATAACCAGCTATCATCATATAAAATTTCATCAAAATCTGTCCAGTGGTTTTTCTGTAATGCGGTAACAGACAGACAGACAGACAGACAAAAATTCTAAAAACTAAAGATTCGGACTGTATATCGATAATAATGTATATTTCAATTAGATTTTCCAACAAATATTTAATGCACAGATTCTACTTAGTTACAATTTTATTATATGTATATAATATTATGTACACAAATGTTATGTCTCGTACACTCGATACGATGTAGAAATATTGCGTTACAAATACAACATAATCGGCTCTTTGTAACTAAGTATGTGGTGTATATGTATGAACATTTCTCTGTTTCGTATTAGTATTCCTACACCATCTTAATTTCTACACTGCTGGTATATTCGGTACTTTTCGCAATACCTATGCTTTGTGGGTTTTACTTAAATGAGGATGTTTTTTTTTTTCATTTCTATATAATACCTTTGTGATGAATTTAAATGTAATTCTCGATAAATATTGTTATATAATGTTTTAGTATACATCACGGTTTTCCTGTTATTACATTGTTTAAGTAAATTATTTCACAAAAGCGTAATAGAAGCAGAGTCACGATACACTCGTCATGCGCGAATGATTGTAATACCTAACTACCTACATTCACGTGTTTCATGTTATCGATAAGAGAATGAATGAGATTTAGCCAAGTATCATATCTGTTTATTCTTCGATCTCAGTGAACATGTACGTTGACATCTAATCTTCTAATATATAAAATTTCCATGTCACAATGTTAGTTACCGTACTCCTCCGAAACGGCTTTACCGATTTTTACCAAATTTTATATGCGTATTCAGTAGGTCTGAGAATCGGCTACTATCTATTTTCCATACCCCTAAGTGATACAAGATAAGGGTGGTCCTCCCAGACCCCACCCCAGGGACGACCCCGAGCGGAGCGAGGGTGAGTCGCTAGTATTATAGAAGTGTAAAATTGTGCTACTTTCATATTACGATTTTTTTTAAAGTACGATGATTTGAGATAATTAATTGCCACTAAGCATTATCCATACCGTTTATTATTATTTTTTACGCTAGCGTACCTATGTAAACTTATATTTAAAGCTTTTATTGAAATTATAAAGAGATGACAAAGTAATATTTCCTAGCCAAAAGAGATCGCCATTTTTGAAACCACTTATACTGTAAATATAGGCAGTGGTAGCTCAGTAGTAACGCGCTCGCTTGGGAAACCGAGTGATGCGGGTTCAAATCCCGGGTCTCGCACCTCTGATATTTTCATATGCGAATCATTTCTAGCTTGATTACCACTTGCCTTACCTTACGATGAAGGAAAACATCGTGAGGAAACCTGCATATCTGAGGGAACTTAGGAAGTTTTCGAAAGATATGTGAAGTCCGCCAACCCGCACTTGGCCAGCGTGGTGGACTATGGCCTGGTTCCCCTCGTATTGAAGGGAGGCCCGTGCCCAGCAGTGGGACGTTAAAAAGGGCTGAATACATTGGAAAAGTCTTTATGATTTATCAAAATCACAGCTAAAACTTTTGCTAAATATCGAAACGATCGTCCATTCTAGTTCTTTCCAACTTTTTTACGTTACGTTATTCTTATTACGACATTTTGCAAACATAATTTTTAAATGGCAGGTGTAGGTATGTGTTAAATCAACACAAACGCAGAAGTAGGTATCTCAAACATATAATGAATTTGTAACTGAGCCGAATCTGTATATTACATATTTTTTAGAAAATCTTATTAAAGTAGACATTATTTTTATTAACGAAACAGAGGCTGAATCTATAGTTTTTTGAAATTTTTGTCTGTCTGTCTGTTAAGTACCGCATCACAGAAAAACCACTGGAGGGATTTTGATAAAATTTGGTATGGTGATAGCGGGTTATCCGGGTCAACATATAGGATACTTTTCACCGTGGGAAAATATCTAATTTTTGAGAAAAAAAATCAAAAACTGTAATGTAAGAGTATACTAATATGTAAAACCTAAGAATTTGGTTTTTGGTCATCTGAACGCGGGCGGAGCCGCGGTCAATGCTAGTTTATAATATATTCGTACTATAGTCATAAATTGAATTACCTATACGTAATTATTGCATTATATAAAAATTAAAATTTATCATTTAATTGATGTTGTACATTTGTACTTAGCCTGCTCTATAATTTTTACGACACTCAACTTCTTATTTTATTTAATGTAAACCCTATGGAGTGTCTGTGAACCACCAAAAACTGCACCATATTAAAATCCATTAAAATCTTTAAATTACTATCACACATTTAGGTAGGTACTGTATATAATCATTCATATTAATAATGATGCAATTTAACTTTAATATTGGGTAACTATGAATTTAGAATTTCAAATATTTATCTCATTTTATTAAGACGTGAGCGCAATGCCCGAAAAGTCACACTTGTAAAGCACTAGCAGAACCCGCGGCTTCCCTCGCGCTAAAACTACAATAAATATCTAAAAAGGTAGTTCATACAAACTTTCATCCCTATTTTACCCCCTTATAGAATGAATTTCGAAAAATGCTAAAATACGTATTTATTTAATTTTATTGAAGATAATTATTACCAAATTGGTTTGCATTATAACGTGTTTTCCCGTGGGAATGTGATAATAATCTCCAGCGGTTAAAAAGTAGCTTATGTCACTCTCCAGCCCTCCAACTATCTCCACACAGCTCCAACTATCTCCGTTTCGACGTGAAAGAAGGACAAACAAACACACTTTCACATTTATAATATTAGTATGGATTATAAAAAAATGACCATGACATGCGAGTCGTGTGCTTACTTTGCAAATCCGACTACCATGAAAAAGTCTTTACATTCTTAGGGTTAATATAATATAGCCTATCACACTTAGAAAGAACGTGGCTTTCTATTGGTAAAAGAATTTTGAAAATCGGTTCTATAGATCCAGAGATTACCCCCTACAACGTCACAAACTCACAATATCACAAACTTTACCTCTTTATAATATTAGTATAGATTATTAAACTAAAAAAATAACCATTAAATTCCAATTTATAAAATCCACGATAAAAGTATTATTATTCGGCGATTACTTCTACCTTTGATAACTCCCTCAAATACTCTACATAGTTATTATTATGTATACAACACAATTAAAATAAAAAAAATGTGTAACTTTATTGTTTTGTTTTTAAATTTAATTACCATAATGCTAATAGAGCTAGATGATAAGTATGTTTTATTTTGAATCTGTAATATGATATAATTCCGCTACGTTATAATCTTAGACATGTTGTATAGTGTACGCTTATAAGTTATACATATTAAAGTAATATTATATTACCGCATTAGCCGCAAAGGCTCAACAAATGAAGGTAAAACCTAAAAGTAGATATTTTAATAATTAACACTTATATAATACATAATAATATGTAAATAGTAATTTTACCCACCACCCCACCACGACAAGGTAAACGCACGTTTGGGTAGATGTATATATACCTACTTAAATAGAGTTTACGTTACATATAATAAAATTGTAACTAAGCCGAATCTGTACATAACATATTTTTTGGAAAAATTTATTGAAATAGACATTATTATCGATATAGAGTCTGTCTGTCTGTTATCGCATCACGGGAAAACCACGGGAGGGATTTTGATGAAATTCGGTATGTTGGTAGCTGGTTATCCGGGGCAACATAAAGAATACTTTTTATCGGAGGAAAATATCTCATTTCTCAGAAAAAATACAAAAACTGCATTGTATGAGTATACTAATATGTATAACCTAAGAATTTGGTTTTTGATCATCTGAACGCGGGCGTAGCCGCGGGCAATGCTAGTAAATTATAATGTCTTCTGTTTATCTTTTGTATTTTCAATGAAGTGTGTAAGAGTTGGAAGATATTATTTTATTATTAACTTTTAACCTCTTATGCATGGAGCATACGTTTTTTCAAAAAATATAAAATACAGGTCGTGGTCAGCTAGCACTAAAGTACTTAGTTGAAATTAAGTATGTTAAAAGATGGCCATTATATGGATTTATTAAAAAAAAAACTATATTAAATCTATATTATTATTTAAAAGCTAAAAGAGTTTTTTGTTGTTTCTTCGAAGGAAGTAGTCTTTGAAAGTAAGAGCACGATTTTAAAATTTCTTTTTTCATTCATAATCTATTTATTTAGAAAGATTATCTAACATCATGCTATGACCTCTGGAAGAAATTATATACAAGCGCAGTCACTGGTAAACGCTGGTACACATAAATGCGAAATTTTGTTGGTTTTAGTGTAGCTTTTTCGGCGATACGACATATAAAAAATCCCATCATTTGGTTATATCTGAAATCTCTGAACATGAATTTTCTAAATGCATCATAATCTATTATTGACTTTATATTAACTCGCTTCGCTCGGGTTCGTTCCTAGGTATGTTTTAACGGTTAGTATGGAATAGATATACTATATATTATGTGATATATAGCCTATAGCTTCCTCCATAAACGAGCTATCTAATGCAAAAATACTCTCTAAAACTACCTCTTTATAATATTAGTATAGATATAATCGATTACTTGTTGCTTTACATTTCCTTTCCGGAAGGATTTGCGTGACGTCTTGAATCATTACTTTTAACTTCCCTTTGATTATTGCCTAGATACCGTTTTGAATAGTGATTTTGTTGAGCAGTGAAACCCATAACTGTTCAGCCGAACAAATACAGAACCATTTTCTACCTAAACTTTATTATCAAATATTTTATTAATAATATAATTGCAATAAGGAAGAATTATATGGTTAGGAAGTTCATAAATAAAGTTTACAAATATTCCATTTAGATTATAGATGTTAATTTGTCAGCATAATCGCACTGCATAGTATATTTTTAGCCTGAAGTATTCCTAAAAAAGAGATTTTTGTCTCCAGATAATGAGGTGCAAGTGAAGGGTTGGTGCTAATCGTCGTCCGAGATGAATTCGGATGTACATCGTCATCAGGCACATCCTCCCCTGGCACAGGTACATAAGAAGACAATTTTGAGACGATTTTACAAATTGTTTGTATAATAAATAATATCCGTGCTTAGAATGAGTTACTCGTGCCCTTTGCCTTTATATCAGCGGCTACTTGGGACATATAGAATAATTAAGAAAATATTAAAGGTTAAGGCGCAGATTGAATATTCTATTTTTAAAATTTATATACTCGTACATATTATATATAGAGATTCAAACTATCACTTGACCAAAGACATAAGTAAAACTATTATGTTATTAAGTCACTTGCTTAGCTCTCTGAACCACTTGTATGGTGAACAAGGGAACGATTGTATCGCATTCCTTCTCCGAGTCTCACAATGAGGCAATGTATAACTTTCTGAATAACTTTACAATGATTTTATTGCTTAAATATGTCACGTGCCCATACTTTGAGCGAGTGAACTTATGTTTTTGCGAATTCAAAGTAATTAATTATTATTATACAAGAATTATGTAAGAGATATGGCATCTGGATCTAATATTAAGCAAATACACAAAAACTAACACTAAATGAGGGTCGAAATATTTACTGAAACGTTTTTCTTGCTTTGTTCAGGTGAAATCTTTACTACCTATGAGTACTTACTATATATAATTAGTGTTCATTGTTTAATAATAAAAATGTATGTAGAATCGGTCAAATTCCGAAGAGTAGCGGGAACAAGAAAAGATTGAAAAAAATTGATAAATAAATAAAGATTTTAATCTACAACTCTAAACTATAATAATATTATAAAGAAATACATATTGTATGTTTGTATGTACCAGGTGTGAGGGGTAATCACTGAAACCTCTGATGATATTATGAAAATTATTTCACTGATTGGAACCTAAATTGCCGCCAAGTGCGGATTAGGCTATATTTTATTCCAATAAAAATGTGTTAACTCTCGGAAATCATAATAACTTAAAGTCGGAACAAAACTGACCGCGTTGAGTTGCTTTATCGACGTGCGCTACCAAAGCAGTTTGAAATCTATACATATAATAAAATTGTAACTAAGTCGAATCTGTACATTAAATATATTATAAATAATATATAAATATATATATTTTTGGAAAATCTTATTGAAATAAACATTATCTTAATCAACATGAAATGTCTTATTTCTGAGAAAAAATACAAAAACTGCAATGTAAGAGTATACTAATATGTAAAACCTAAGAATTTGGTTTTTGGTCATTTGAACGCGGGCGGAGTCGCGGGCATTGTTAGCATAGTAATAAAATGTAAAGCAAATAGACACATAGGGACGCACCCGAGCGAAGCGAGTGTATGTCACTACTTGTTAATAAGTTGCTTAGTCTCTCAACAATTGTTTTGTTCCAGCACGGTGTACACGGCGCACAGAGCGTGGGCCCCTGCGGCTGGTACTCCGCATCGGCCGCGCCCGCGCCCACCGCCCCCGCGCGACTGAAAAGGGCGCAACCCCCACATCAACTACCGGTAAATACAAAAAGGGTTGATCTTATATAATACTTCAATGAGTAATTTTGATATAATACGATATTAACATGAAATATTTATAATATGGTATAAGTGTTGGTGCATAGGTGATTATAGCATTAAAATATATTTTTTCGGTAGACAACAAGGATTTTTTTTACGAATAAAGGTGTCAGAGAAACATATTTTCACATTTACGAATATTCAAAAAACTACAAGAGAGATATAATCGTACTCGTAATATTATTATATATTCTATTAAAACCTATATATAGTTTTAAAACCAATTATCCTGTGGCTGCATTCAATGGACGATTAAAAGTTGACCCGTTATTTTGCAGTCCGGTGGAGGAGTCAGCGGAAGCAATGGTCCTCACGTTCCCCTTTCGCCCACAGCGTTGCAGAATTCCGTTCCACATAGCGTAAGTTAATAATTCAAACAATTGATTTTTTTTTTTTGCTAAAAAGATGTTATTTATTATGTTATGTTATTGCTAAAAGATTATATTGTGCTATTATTTCTTGTTGCATATTAGTCCAGTCGAGAAGTTCAACATCTACGAAAAATAGTTTAAAAAGTCAGAAAATAATGGACAACGGCTCATTAGATGTTGAATAAAATTGTAGGGAAAACGTTTTTATTTTATTTTCTGCAAACAAAAAACTTAAAGGAAAAAAGGCCGCAGGTTTTTGTTAATAACTTGAAAACGGTAAATGGTAGAAGAAATCAGAAATCATATATAATTAATAATTTTAATCCACTGTTAAAAATGGGGTTCTGCGCGACCGTTTAGGCTGTTTGCATTATAAGTGCGAATTTGTGTTCTCATGGCTGTCTTAACATATATAAATATATAAGAAAATATTGTAGAAGTGGCAACATGTCATTGTAGTAAAAATAAATTTAATGTTAATCCTAATTAGATGAATGTATTGAGACCTTTTTAACGCTCCACTGCTAGGCACGGGTCTCCCCTTAATGTGAGGAGGATCAGGCCATAGTCCACCACGCTCGCTGGCCAAGTGCGGGTTGGTGGACTTTACATGTCTTCAGAAAATATGCTAGGTTCTCTTATACATGAATATTTCCTCACGATGTTTTCCTTCACCGTAAGGAGGAGGAGGAGGAGGTATTAATGTATACATATAAATGATTCGCACATGCGAATCTCAACCCGTTTTCTAAGCAAAGTGCGTTATATATTAGTGCCTCAAATCGAACTAATAATAATCCAATTTTTTTTTTGTAGAACCTAATGTCGTCGTCAGTGCGCGCAGCGGCTCCGAGCGGCCCCGCGCCCGCCGCCATGCACACGTCCCAAACAACAGCCGGTGTGTACTATTTTGTGTTATATAGTATGATAAATATTTTTCGGCACCATGCAATGAACAACTTTATAACTCACTATTGTTGAAATTTTGAATTTGTACTTTAAAGATTCGGGAAATTGATTTCCATTTTTTAAATATACGTATATACGTTTAAGTAGTAGGCACTGAGCTTACAATGTTGTTCACTGCAGGTACGACAGCTGTTTTGTGTAATATATAATTCGTGGAAAAATCATTCTGTCACCCATTAAGTTAAATAAGATGCTGTCTAGTAGGGTACGGATGAAATAATAATAATGTTTATATGTATATGAATTATGAAGTCAATCAAATGCCTAATTTTATCTTTAAATTATCTAAAAATCAGAACAATAACTAATGAAAGTGTTTTCAAATCTTATCTTAAGTTTTTAGTTTTATTTTAGATTATCAAGTAAGATTGAGCCCATGAATTTTCACAGAGGTGAATTTAAAATTCCATTCTGCTTGTACTATAATATTTGTTTGTAATTTCTGAGGAACTCCTATGAGTATATTTAGTCTGGATAAATAATGATAATTTATATTATTAGAGTGAAAATTTAAAATTCTGAAATTCTTAATACAGCGTAAAATCTTTTGTCATGATAATGAAGTATCCTTGCACAGTATTTTACGGTGAACATTAACCACACTTGAGTCATCTGGAATATTCATGTGTCATCGCTACTATTTGTAAGTGAATATAAAATTAAATGTTATAACTTTAATGTTTTAAATATACACAAACACAAACATGCAAATGTAAGTCTAAATTAAAATTAATTTATGATAAGTAGTTAAACAACTGCATATATTATTATTGATTTACTCTGATAATTTAAATTCTAACAGTTATGATTCATTTTGTCCTTAATCGTGTCGCTTTATTGTTCAATAAGTGAAGCTATTCGGTATATTCATAACTAGCGACTCACCCTAGCTTCACTCGGGTTCGTCCCTACAATAATGTATGGAAGCCTGTCCGATTTGTTGACATTTATGATTACTGCTCCACTCTCTTGGGTGCATGCAGCATGATGATGATATATAGCATATAACTTTCCTCAATAATCGGGCTATTTAAGGCAAAAAAAATTTTTGAAATAGAATTAGTAGTTCCTGAGATTAGCGCGTTCAAACAAACAAACTCGGCGTCTTTATATTATAGTATAGATTCGTATTAGAATGTTATATTTTGTTGTGTAAAATTTTTCGCGGATTTATTTTGATTTTTGGTTTCCAACGTTTCGAATACTTTACAGCAATCATGTCATGATCATCAATATCTATTTAAATTTAAAATGTCAAATATTCGCGTAAATCTAGGATAGTATTGTGTGTGATGTTTAAATAAATTGTATGTTAATATTTGCAGTAGTCCCCAAGGGATCGAGCGATGTGTTGGTGAACTCGTCAGGACCGACGCCGCCGGCCGCCAACAGACTCGTCAACACGTGGCCGTGAGTGCATGCCTTATATGACTTGGTTTATAATGAAAAAAACTTAAATAGAATTATGGTAAATGATCTAAAAATAGGTAAAAATATAAATAAAAAGGACCGAGTTTATATGTAGTTATTTACGTTGTTTATTGCTATTGTATTTGTTGTTTTTGCCCGCGGCTCCGCTCGCGTGATAGCGAAGCGCGATACGGTTTTAATATTATGCGGATTGGTTGCTCGATTGATATTTTTAATGCACAAATATTTTATTTTTATATTCATAGGGCACAATAATAATTGATTCATAAAATTATATTCATGATTTGACGATACATTTGGTTCAGTTTGTAGTGAGCCTACTCGCCGTGCCAGGTTCGAGTCCCGCTGGGGCCAATAATTTGTGTGATGAGCACGAATGTTTGTACTCCAATTATAGGCGCTTATATTTACAATATGTATGATGTATGTATTTAAAGTTATATATGTGTAGTATATCAACTATCTGGTATCCATAGCACAGGCCTTGTAGCTTACCATGGAACTAGATGGTGTTAATGTCCAAATAAAAAAATATATATATATAAATAATCAGATTATATCTCTGTATATGTTAAATAATTACAATTAAATTATCGCAAATTGATATAAAAAGTAATATAATCAGGTTTTGATAATCGCCATCGTGTCGTAGACACAAAAACTCAAATTTTCGATAAGATACGCCTTATCTTACTTAAGTTTCGTCTTGTAAGTAGTTTAGTCTGATTTTAGTGAGTATGGAGAGTGACAGTGAAAGTGAGAGCCGTGACATAACAGTTAGTTTGCCATTGATCAGCTGCGATGATTTTAAGTAATTTCAGACTATTTTAAAATTATTATAGTTGAATTGGCTTTTTTCGTTAATTATTAAAAAAACATTCATGAAAAACAGATATAGTAGTTTCGTACTAAAATATTTACTTAACATATTATTTATACAGTCTTTTAGGTGTCACATAAGAAAATGTCAACTAGGGCTTAAGTCATCGAATCTTGTCACTTAAATATTTATAACTAGCGGCTCAACCTCGCTTAGCTCAGATTCGCCTCTAGAAAAACAAAAACAAATCTATCCCTCGGGAACCTTTTTACCGGGATAAAAAGTAGCTTATGTGTTATTCCAGACTATAATCTATCTCTGTGCCAAATTTTATCCAGATCCATTCAGCCGTTCTGGCGTGAAAGAATAACAAACATCCATACATGCTCACAAACTTTCACATTTATGATATTTAATATACAGATTATAACGAGATTTTATCAAAGGAAAAGGTACCAATCATTATAATTGTTAATTGTAAGGATGTAATCAAGATATTGTTATGATAATATATTAAGAGATATTATTATGGTATTTTGTTATTCATAATGGAGTAACAAATTCTATTATAGTCTATACACAACTTTTTCTTTCTTAAAGAAAACAATGAACATATTATAATGCTTTACCACCTCACTGTTTGCACTTGTAAATAATCAATTTTAAATCATTTTTACTTATAGTATGATATAAAATTGAAATAAACTTTAGTATATTTCATGATCTTCGTCCGTTTTTATAGTATACATTAGCGACTTGCCCGTGCTTCGCTCGGGCGTGTCTGTTTTAACTTTTTTGAGTGGAACTTTAACTCTATTTCTAAAATAATTAATTAATATTTTTTTTTATTATAAGTACCGTATATACTTTCACATGTATTTATTAAAAGCTTGTTATTTTGACATTACAAATAGACACTTCAATTTTATTTGTCTGTACAGATATCGCTAATTATTGCTAGAAGTCATAAACAAATTATAAATTTACATTGATAAATCTAGTTTAAATGTGGCAAAGCTTTATTACAAACAATGTAGTTGTTGTGATATATTTAGTTGTTTATCTTTGTAATTGGACAGCAAATTGAAAATAATATGTTTGCTTTCATTAATCGTAATTTTAATGTGTTTTCTATTACTGCGCCTGAAGAAACAAAATGAACAAAAATAAAGATAGATAGATAAATACTTCATTGCACACACAAAACAAGAATACAGAAGATGAAAAGATTTGATGATGAAGAATATGTAATATCGGTGTTGCGTGTCCTCAGCTGGCACCACGGCGCGATATCGCGCGAGCGCGCCGAGGCGCTGCTGTCGGGGTCGCCGGACGGCGTGTTCCTCGTGCGCGAGAGCACCAACTTCCCCGGCGACCACACGCTGTGCGTGCGCTTCCGCGGCCGCGTCGAGCACTACCGGTGCGTATACGGGTTATGGATACCCCGGTGTATGATCAGGTCCTTCTGACAGGCGGCGAATCTATATAAAGCATAAGTCCACGCGTAAATACAAGTGCACTCTCTATTTTGTCATTCTTATACTCTGATGAGACATCAGGTGTAGTATCAACTCGAAAATTATACAATGATCTAAAAATTTTATTTAAAATGTTAAATACTATTGGGTCGGCAGTAGCTGTCACAGCAGTGTAGCACCCCCAGTTATTTCGGACTGCTACTGAGTATTTCTTTAAAGAAAAACCCAATAACAGTTTGAATAGTTATGCAGAGCCTGAAGTTGGAAAGTTGGCAGTGTTTCGCCCCCGTGCCTTAGAGAGCATGTAAAGCCGTCGGTCCTGCGCGCAAATGCGCTGCATTATAATATCTCCTACGCAGATGGCTAGTCTCAATGAGTTGGCCGCCGTGGCCGAAGTCGGTCAAAAGGACATTATTATATGCGAATGGCGGTGTTCTTTTTACCTTATTATTTAAATGTTACTTATAATATAAATATACTTTTATCAGAGTGAAGTGGGCGACAGCACCTGACAGCCAAAATCAACGTCTTACAATCGATGATGAAGAATTCTTTGATACCATGCCGGATCTTATTCATGTAGGTATCCAGATAAACAGTATATATAATTTTAATTTTGATTGATATATAATATATACATTTAAATTATTAAAGAAATAATAAAAGAAAAATAATTATGTAATACATAAAATCGATCTCAGCTTTGTTCATAGTAAACAATTAATTTTGGTCCATAAATATAAACTAATAAAAGTATTTTATATTTTCTAGCATTACTTAAAAGATGCAGATGGGTTATGTACAAAATTAGAAAGATGGTTACCAAAGTCATCTCCAAACGGTGCCAATAACAATAATGTGCTCCAACCACCTTTTTCACCTCTTCCACAGGTACATCTTTTAATATTATATAGTAAGGAAATGTATTTTTTTACATTTATAAAAAATATATTATATTTTAATGATATGATTAAAACCATAAATATATCAAGTATTTTGGCCGAATATACATCAAGTTTTATTAGATAAGACAACAAAAAGAGAAGTGACTGCAACACACTTAATGAGAGAGTTTTAGGATGCTTTGGTTAATTAATCTCCAGTTACACTTTAGACTTACAGTTATAATATAAAATCCAACATTAATATTTATAATCGGACTATGTGATTGTGTGTATGTTTGTTATTCCATGTTGAAACAACTGGACGGATTGTAATGAATGAAATTTAGTACACAGATCTGAAGTAACACATAAACTAATCAGTAAGCCATGGTTGTACCTGAGCTAATTGTGCAATGTGCCCGCAGCAGCCGCCGCCGTACCCGCCCACGCCGAGCGTGTCGTCGCTGGCCGCCGCGCACTTCCCGCACGCCTTCCCGCCGCCGCCCGCCGACCAGACCGACGGGCAGAAGTTTGATGCGCGTTAGTATTATACTCATAGTCATTTATTCAATAAAACAATATTTTTTTAACAAGATTTCAATTGGCCGAATTGGTTTTAGAGTAACAACGTTTTTGGGTTTATATTATATTTTAACTAATTTGCGCAATATATGAAAAATGGAGATGAAAGATATTATGTTAATATTTATTCTATTAAAATCGTCAGTTATTTTTTGTATGAAACATACTTATATGTATGTAGTTCAAATTTTAAAATAAATATAATGATTAATTAGTTTAGTATATTATTGACCAGGTTGGGTAATAGCAGAACGAGACTTAGAGATTCGGGAGAATATAGGCAAAGGAGAATTCGGAGATGTGATGCTGGGCATTTTGAACGGTACTCAAAAAGTGGCTGTCAAAATATTGAAAGACCGCGAAGCAGCCAGCAAGTTCCGAGCGGAGGCTAGTGTGATGGCGTAAGTCAATAGAATATTTGAAAATGAGCTTTCTATTCCTATATTATGTATGTGTGTACGAAATTGGTTATTTTCATTGGTTTCTGCCGTGTATTTTTTGGCTGACAACACTAATGGTTAGTGAGTTGCGCAATGTAAAAGTTTAAGTAATAATAATAACCGGAGCTGTAAATAAAGAAATACTTTAGAATATTTTTAATTTTATATTAATAATAACTGTATGTTATGTCTAAACTAAAATGCAAGCGAAATCGAACTCTCTTATAATATAATATATCTTTTTGTGTGCACTTACGACATTTTTGGCAATTTTAAATCGATATAAATGAATATCCTTTGGAATTTGAACGATTTTCTAGTTAATAGGTTAGTAAAAAATCCATTCCATATTAGTAGAATAGTTGATTTGAAATGAAATATGTAACGATCGGTGGCAGGTCGCTAAAGCACGAGAACCTGGTGCGGCTGCTGGGCTGCGTGGTGTTCAGCGCCAACGGCAGCACGTGCATCGTGACGGAGCACTGCGCGCAGGGCTCGCTGCTGGACTACCTGCGCTCGCGCGGCCGCCACTACGTCACGCAGCTCAATCAGATCAACTTCGCTTAGTGAGTACACTCATATACCTCATTTTTCTCTTAGAGAATTGAATTACTTTTATTCTATATTACTTTATTTAAAATGATGTTGTTTTTAAATTTAGTTAGTCTGTCAATTTTGTAGATTTTATCTACTATTTAAGTATTATCTTACTGTAATAATATGTAATTAATATTATTTATTATGAATGCTATGTACATTGTACAATTGTAATTATTATGTTTTTTTTGTTGACTATAATTATATTTTTTATATGTATACTGTTAGTGTGCTTAATAATGAATTAAAAGTGAATACATCATAGTGTAAAATACATACAATAGGCAACCGTCTATTGTATGTAGTGGAAATGTTATCAAATGCAAGGTCGAACGGTTTCGAAGTTAAAGCAGACTAAAGTAGTCTGAAATGCTGTCTCGTGGCAAATTACAGTCATACGCGTCATACCAAAGCCGTTTGCGACATGAAGCTTATATTGTGATTGATCTCCACGACCGCGGACACGCCGGCGTTACAGTTAACAATAGATATCTTAGAAATTTAATTAAATTCGTAGAAATTTACCTGGAGGTGTAAAAAACACGTATTTGAGTGTGTTCTTGTCAATTTCTCATACCATAATGTCTACGGATTTGAAATGGACGCAGTAATGCAAATTGAATTTTTATCAATGTATCTGCTACGCGTGCCAATTATACACACACACGCACACAAAGTTTTCGATGCGCGTTGTTGGTTAATATTTTACAGAATTCCTTTTTTTATTAGAAAGTATACAAGTGTTTATAATTTCTAATTCCTTATTTACATTTTAATATCTTAAAAATGTAAATATAGTTGAAAATGTTTTGATTTTTAAAAGCTATTTAAATTAGTTGTTATAATGTAAAAAAATGTAGCTGGTGAAATTTTGACTAAGTATAACATTAATTAATAATTACATACCGAAATATGTGCATTTGCATATTTTGTTTATAATTACACGATTTTACTCGATTATTATTCAATTATGATGTATAGTTTCGCTATATAATTACATATTTCAATATATTTTCCAGTGAACAAATGAAACTTTATATTTAATTTGGTAATAAATATATTAACCATATTGACAAATATAAATATTCTTGATATTTAATTTAGCAATATTATAATATATTATTACTACTTACTAAATATTACCTGAGTTAAAATAAAAACATAAAATGAATATTTTTCATAATTTAATGTTGCATAATTTAATACTGCATTTGGTATTTTATATTGTTTATGAACCATTTTCTGTTGTAATTATTAGGTTTTTGAGATTAAATTATTCCTATTTATAAATACTTATTTATGCTAAGGGCGAATAGTTCATTTATTATAAGTTGTTTTATTACTTTTAATATGTAATAATTATTATGGATACTATATTTTCACGGAGTGAATGTAATAGAACCGACTCGATTACGACCGAAAATATGAGAATACTAGCGACTCGCCGTCGCTTCGCTTTGGGTTCGTCCCTAGACAAAACCAAATTATCCTACTGGAACTGCGTTTTCCGGGATGAAATATAGCCTATAGCCTTCCTCAATAAACGGTCTATCTAATGGCAAAAGGTTTTTTTTTAAATCGGCTTAGTAATTCCTAAGATTATGGCGTTCAATCAAACAAACAAATTGTCTCTTTACAATATTAGTATAGATTACATGTATTCATATTACGGTTTTCTATTTCTAATATCTATAATAATAATTGAACCTTAACTAAGCTTCTCTAATGTTATACATCGATTGAACAATTTGAATGTGTCTTGACCACACACACACACACATGCATACACACACACACTTGCATACACACACACACTTATACATGTAATTCATTCTAAATTTTAATTTTGTTTTCACTCTGTTTGTTGACATTCTAATCTTGGTGGACGAGCGGGGCACCAGTAATACGGGTCTACACATAGTACAGGGGCCCTCGCGACTAGCTCGGAATTGTAATCTTTAAGTCAATAAGAGTATTATTATTTTTTATTTTTGACCACAGCGACGCGTGCTGCGGCATGGAGTACCTGGAGCGGCAGCGCGTGGTGCACCGCGACCTGGCGGCGCGCAACGTGCTCATCTCCGGCGAGGGCGCGGCCAAGGTGGCGGACTTCGGGCTGGCGCGCCCCGACGCCGCGCCCGACGACCCCGCCGACGCGCTGCGCGTGCAGGCCAAGCTGCCCATCAAGTGGACCGCGCCGGAGGCGCTCAAGTACAACGTGAGTTGCGCACTGCGGTTGTGGGATCGATCGGGATTACGAATGGAAATATATTGCGTATATCTTTATATATATAATTCTTCTGTGAGTGTGTATGTCACTGAACTTCTCTCAAACGACTGGACCGATTTTGATGAAATTTTTTGTGTGTGTTCAAGGGGATCTGAGAATGGTTTATATTCACAATTTGAATAATCATTTTCATCAAAATGGTTTAGAATGTTTTAGCTTATTAAAAAAAGTTTGAAATTTTCAAATTAAAGACGTGTAGACAGGACAACGTCTGTCGGGTCCGCTAGTTACGGTATAAAATTCTTACAGTAGGTCAGCTTTGGTATTCACGGAAGTCACGTCAAATGCATAGGGTTGTTAATACCGAGTAAAATGGCCGATGGTTTTAAATTTTAATGTTCCGGTATACTCGTCAACCCTAAGAGTAGAATAGTTAAAGTACATAATACGATAGTCGGGGGAGCACCTCAATCGTATCGCACTTTTTGAGCCTCGCATGATTGCGATATTTTGATGTTTTAGTTAGACGACGCTTAGGATTAGAAGACTGAATTATATCCTGAATTAATATTTCATTAGTTATAAAATATCTGACTATAAGAAATACAAGAAAATGATTTTACAGTCGTGGGATATTGGTATTCAGTAATTTATTTTACTAGTGCTACCTAAGATTGCTAAAAATATACATAATAGCGAGAATTAGAGAGATAGAGAGAGAGAGATGAGAATTATGTATTGACGGATTTCGTGCAGGATATACATTAGTCATATATCCATATTTAAATAAATACACAAATATACAATAACAATGAAATTTTGAATATTTGTAGTTTATAATTATAACAACTTTATGTAATTTTTATTTGAAACTTTTATTTTCCAGAAATTTTCTAATAAGTCTGACATGTGGAGTTTTGGCATTCTCTTGTGGGAGATTTACTCATTCGGAAGAGTGCCGTATCCTAGAATCGTGAGTGAAGTATTTCATATGTTTTTATTATTGAAATGAATTTAAAATTATTGTACCTATTTAGATGTACATTTTCATATATAAAAATTGTTGAAGGCTTTATTAGTTCAAGTGAAAATAATTAAAGTAGATTATTTATTAGAATGTATAATGTTATATTAATACAAAGTGACTGGTTTTTTTTAATTAAGTACGTATTAAGTAGGTACGTTTTAACGGTTAGAATGAAATACAAATCTTTAAATTTCTCGACTTTTCTGTACTATAATATGCATGTATTATACGAATAAACCTTCCTCTTGAATCTATCTATTGCTGAAAACTACATTAAATTCTGTTGAGTAGTTTAAAAGATCTAAGTGAACAGACAGCGGAAGCGACTTCATTTTTTACTATGTAAAGATGAAACACAACATACGTTTTGTCCGTCTTTTTTCAACGTTTTATTATTGTATAACTTATGTTGGTATATATTTCGTGACGTCAGCCGCTGGCGGAGGTGGTGCGGCACGTGGAGCGCGGCTACCGCATGGAGGCGCCCGAGGGCTGCCCCGCCGGCCCCTACGACGTGATGCGCGCCGCCTGGCACGCCGACCCCGCGCAGCGCCCCACCTTCGCGCACACGCGCCTGCGCCTCGCCGCCATACGCGAGACCGCGCACGCGCACCAGGCATGTACCTGACTTGCCTTATTTAATAAATAACAAATATGTTGGGACATTAACACAGCACGATCTAGTTCCATAGTAGCTATGAAACCTATGTTATGGATACCAAATGGTTAATACACTACACATAGGTATACAACTTAAATACATACATATTATAAACCAGCGGCTCACCCTCGCTACGCTTGGGTTCGTCTCTAGGAAAACAAACCTATTCCACGGGAACCATACATTTTTTCAGGATTAAAAGAAGCCTACGTGTTATGACAGCCTATAATAATCTTTGTATATAATCTTTGTGCCAAATTTCATCCAGATCAGTCCAGCCATTATGGCGTGAAAGAGTAACAAACATCCATACTCACAAATTTTTACATTTATAATATTAATTCGGATATACCCATATACCTTACCCATGACTGGAGTACAAACATTTGCTAATCACACAAATGAATGCCCCCAGCGGGATACGAACCTACGACCGCTGGCACAGCAAGTAGGGTCACTACAAACTGAGCCAAACGTGACGTCTTACACTTGCTATTTCTCAACGAGCACTTGGGCTGAGTGGTCGTTGCTATTTCTTGATACGGCCTGTTGACATGTTCAGGAATTGAACCCAGAAATGCGAAATTAGAGAACAATTTTTACAAGGATAAGGATAATTTCCGACGCCGCAAATGTTTAAATTGTTCAGTTAACAGTGAAGATTAGCTTGTACAATTGAAGAATATATTTGATTTTATATAGTTTCTTTTTAACCGACTTCAAAAAGGAGTAGGTTCTCAATTCGGATGTTTATATTTTTCTATGAATGTTCGGGCATAACTCCCGTAATATATCGGTGGATTTACAATTTTTTTTTGTTCGAAAGTTTATTTCGAAATCAAAAGTCGAATCGAAGTCCCATTTAAATTAATAAAAAACACCCAGCCCTAAGTGTAGACAATAGGATATAATATGTAACTGCTTTTTCACCCACTGAATTGTTAAAATATTTTCTTCGTATTTTGCTACTAAGGTCTACACAAAAAGAACACTAAAAGTAAAATGTAACTGATTGGTTTTATTTACTATATATACTAAATCAGATATTTGCGAAGTCGGTGCAAGCCGATACAAATCAAAGCACACCGACATAACCAATTAGGTATCCAATGGGTTATTGTTCACTTTTTTTTAGGTCTGTTTTATTTTCAATACATATAAGCTTTGCACTGACTGACCTGTCGAATTATATTTTTGTTATTATATTAGTTGTTATTCAATTTCAAGTGTTTGACCTAAAAATTCAGTACAAATAAAGTATATATCTTTAATAGTAGTCTACATAAAAATCATAATGACGATTGTCCATGAAGATTAAAAGTAGCCCTTTATTCTTTTAATACTAAATAATAGTAACTATTCTTGATAATAGATAAGAATATTATTTACCCATTTTATTTGTAAAATTAAAAAAGCTAATCTATACAGATAAATAAAATTGAAGTGTATGTTTGTAATGTCAAATTAACAGTTTTACTAAATGCATATGAAATTATATACGGTACTTATAAGAAAACACATATTTTTTTAACTTTTGTCTGTCTGTCTGTTTGTTCCGGATAATCTGTGAAACGGCTGGACTGATTTTGACGGGACTTTCACTGGAAGATAGCTGATGCTATAGGGAGTAACATAGGCTACTTTTATTTTAGAAAAAGAATTAGGGTTCATATAATCTTTATTTAATATAATCATTATTTTCTTTTTGTTTCAGTGAATACAGCGCTGACAACAGTGCACATTTAAACTTTACGATGGTTAGTGGTTTCTGTGACAAAGCTGTATTTTACATACAATGTTTTTAGCGTCTCGTGAGTACTAAATTATTTTGATAAAGTATAAAGACACTTCCTCGCTTAAGAAGTAACCATTATATTGTATGAAATAGATTGAATTTGTGTTATAGAAGTAAATTTTATCTCATGTTGTGTATTTTGCTGTCGCGGGGCTTTTAGTGGCCTTCCTAATTGTAAACCATTTCGTTTAGAAATAGATCAATTTACTGCGTCTCGCTTTCTACTGCGTACTACATTTAAATTATGCACAAATATTTAGGAGCACAATATTTTTGGCCTCGGTGACGATAATTTTTAACCCACTTACAAAATAGTAATTTTTGATAATTTATATTTTACCTACCTAATAATTTAAGATAATATTTACAGTTCAAGTATTTTCGTAAAATCTTTAATATTAAGACAGAATAAAGCTAAAAGTATTGTGATAATGGTTTTTAAATTATTTTAATTCTATTATATATTTCAATTATGTAGCAAATTTACTAATGATATTTTATAAAACTTTGACTCTGAAAATATACACTAATCTATTCAAATCGCTAAAATTAAATATGAAATATTTAAATACTGTAATCATTATCCATATTTGTCTCGCGACTCGTCGTGTAAGGTCGCAAGCACTAAAAGCCCTTTTTATAATTTTAAAGACCTTAAGTAATACATGGATGTGAAATTCCGGAACGTATCAACGTGACCATATGTCGGTACTATGCAATATGGTACTGTCTAGTCAAATAACAAGTGTAGTTTGTTTGTATCATATTATTTTCAATGTATTTAAATCATATGGTGACTGATCACAATATGTAAACGTAAACATTTATAGAGTTGCACATAGAGAAATATATCAATAATTAATTTATGAGTACTGTAGGGTTTATGCACTTCCTGTCATACAAAAAACACGGAAATGCTATTTTGTAACAATCTTTAATCTGTGTAATTTAAATTAAACATAAAAAAGTCTACTATATTTTTTATTATTGCTGTCATAAGAAGTCACTTGTATGTGTGATTCATTCCTTTACAATATTAGTGTTAAAGTCTGATACTATTATTACTTTGTGCATTTGTAGATGATTTTAAAATGTGTCTAACAGATGATGCGTTAGGGGCAAGCGATTACAAGTGATTGATATTTTATAAGTTTTGCTTGTGATGCTACAAAGTATGTTGGTAAAAAAGCTGGTGTTTCACTGTTGTGATCTGGGAGTATTCTGTGAATTAAATACAATTATTTGTAATCGCTCGAACCAGCATTTGCACTGTAGAGTAATGTGTGCTTAGTCAAAGTAAGAAATAAAGTTGTCAAACCGACTTTCAGGTTGTGTGCTAAAATTTAGTAATTACCATTGGTAATTTAAAATCGTAATACTATTAATAATTGTTGTTAAAATTAATAAATGTGGTCATACTTTATGAATACATATATGAAAAAAGTATTTAACATGACAAATAATTATTGGGAAAATGGAATCTCAAAGGAGAGGTGTTGTGGCTTAAAATTATTTGATTTAATATGAATGAATTATAAGACTCACTTCTACGCTTGTTATTGTAAGTTTAAAATGTCATTTCAAAAGCCAACTAAATTTATGTTCAATGTGTATATAATATAATATTATGAATATTAATTTTTTGTTTACAATAACAAGTGTAAGAAACAGCATGCACCATTCATATTCTACATAATAAAGTTTGGTTCGAAAGCTTCACGAAGGGAATGTCCGTTCAATTTCTTTATGCAATACTAGTTGTAAGTGTTACATTGTTTTTTTACGATTTATTTATAAATTTCTTAAAAATTGGTTAGTAATCCGAGCCGAACACGGTCTATTAGCGGGTGGCAATACAACGCACATTACTTTTTATTCTTTTGTTATTTAAAAAAAATACTAATAGTTAATTAAAATGGTAGATAGTGTAATTCCACAAGGTTGATCATGTTAAAGTATTAAAGTATACTTATTTAAAAATGTTCCTCCGTATTTCGCATGTTCAAGCGAAACGCTTATTTTAAATCTTACTTATTATGTGAAAGTATTACGAATTTCCGAGCCACACCTTATATGAATCTTGATACGAATTGAGAAAAAAAATGAGACTGCATGTTAAACGATTTAAAATATTTATAAACGACATATGTATAAAATTTTATTTGAAATGTAGTTATATAATATGCTTTTGCACTCGCTAATAGATCCTACCGACTCCGCAAGAGTCATTTTTTTACCAAAGTAACTTCAATGAGCAAAAATAAACTTTATCTTATTTACAGTCTTCCTTTAGATTATTGAACCCTAATATCTCGAAACTTCAAAAACGGTATACTAGTCTTAAGTTTTTATCTTCAAACTCCTAAGACTCGCTCGCAGCTGAAACATACCGTGATATCTTGAAAAGGTGTAAATTAAAAATCTCGTTTTGTTTTTGTTTATTATTGTACTATTTTCAAAATGTAAATACATGTAACGATAAGGGATAAATATATGATAAGAAACTATGAATATAATTGAAGTTTTATTTCTTAACAATCACTTTCGCTGGTACTTGTGCATTCGCATGTACCGGAGCACCCGGTGTTATCGTATTCATCGCAAGATGAAGTATTATATTTAGATCTATACTTATTTTTTATCGCAGGCCATATTTCTGTTTTAATGTCGTTCCGTTTTGATTTTTGTTCTACCGTCTGTGTCTCGCGTCCGTCCTTTGCCATACAACCGCTTGCTTGATCCACAAATGTTGTAACATATTTGTCTGATGTGTCCGTAGTACATTTGCATATTTGGTTATGACGTTCTGTCTGCTTTTTATATTGCTTTGAACAACTTGTACACGTTTTCTTATTTTTTAGCAAAGGCCTAGGTTGCCTTTCATTATCTATAGACATGAAACTAACGCTTGAAACTAATCTCTGGCGACACTCACAGGAATAATTTGTTTCTTTTTCTGCTAATTTATTATTGAATGGACAATAGCAAGGGCCGCGGCACATTCTGCCATTACAGCGATTGTTTAAAGCGATTTCTGTTTGAACATATGCAGAATCTTTTAGAATCCTGCTCTGGCGTAAAGTTGGGTAAAAGTAATAAATGTCAGTGGTGGACGTTGAATTATCATTGTGGAACTGCAACAATTACTACCATTCAATACTAGTAGTATTACTAAAGTCCATCCATTCGCGTTAAGAAAATAATTGCGCGTTAAGAAATTAAGATTTAATCTTCATTTGAGATGATAATTACTTTATTTCGATTTGAGATAATTAATCAACTTAATTACCTCAAAAATTACTTAATTACCTCAAAATACTGTCATTTATACATATAATTAAATTGTAACTAAGCCGAAACTGTAAATTAAATATTATCGATACAGATGCGATTAGAATTTTTGTCTGTCTGTCTGTTACCGCATCACAGAAAAACCACTGGAGGGATTTCGTTGAAATTTGGTATAGTGAAAGCTCGTTATCCGGGTCAACATATAGGATACTTTTTACCGCGGGAAAATATCTCATTCCTGAGGAAAAATACAGAAACTGCATTGTAAGAGTATACTAATATGCAAAACCTAAGAATATGGTTTTTGGTCATCTGAAGGCGGGCGGAGCCCCGGGCAATGCTAGTTAATAATATATTCAAGTCTGCCTTCAACTGGTCACTTGTGAACTTGACTTTATAATTTTATGCAACCTAATTGATCAGGGAGCGTGACTAGACCGTGGACACCGATGACTCACTATTTTCTTAACGCGAATGAGCTATACTTTCATTTCTCAATGGAAATAAAAAATGAATTAAAATAAAATCAAGAAATTTTACCTTTTGATAATATCCAGGATAAGTAGGTAAGTTAACGCAACATTTTGAATTAAATAGTTGGAGCGAAAAAGGGTCGCTAGATCCATTAGGTATTTGATAGTTGTTTCTGTTTTACAATATGAAAATTTAATTCGTCACATCTTATTAATTTATTATAATATTCATAATACTATTTTTTGGATAAAAAAGCTATAATTTTTGTGAATTAGACGGGGAAACCATACTATTTATTCTTATTATATATCGAATTCGCATTAAAAAAGAACCAAGCACTGAGATTTTGTGCTTCCACGTGACTAGTTGCAGATAAGACGTTTATTTATTAATTAGTTCGTCGTTACTCGTTGCAGTCCGTACCGTTCAGACGTCTCTCGTGTAGTTGCCTTATTTATTATTCATGTAGGAGATAACAGTGATACGTAGGAAAGTGAAAATTAATAAATAATGTATACAAATATTTAAAAATACAGTTAATTTTACTTTAATGTTGATTTTATTTTATTACAAATTATTAATAATTCCTCACTAAAGCATTAGCAACATGAACGAGCCCTATGATTTCAAACCAGTTGCAAGCGTTAGTGGGCGGAGCTAGACAGTTTTTTGGCCTTATCAGTTTGTATGCTAATGTGGAACAGAGAAAGCGCTATGCATGATTCACTCCGTGAATAGAGTATAGTAATAAATGGAGACAATCAAGAAATCAATATAGATGCTCGTTTACGGAATCCGCCACTATGCCACCAGGGTTATCTTTATAAGTGAAAATAAAATTAAGTACGTGATATACATAATATACTCACGGATAGGAAATGCTTCTTACAAGCCAGGGTTCCGTGTTTATACACCTTTGAAAATAAGGAGTACTAGAAGTATTCAAGTTAGATTGAATAGGAGACCAACGGTCGTACCAGACAGCCGGCACAAAGTATAGTTGCACGCTTCCATCCGGAAATATTACCGACGTAACGTCACCTTCGCCTATTACGTTTGCATATGGTACTAAAAATACAATTAACGTTATTGAAATTTTAATAATGATGATGATGTTCTCCTGACCGATTCCGGCCACGGCGGCCAATCTCATTGAGACTAGCCAACTGCGCAGGAGATATTATAGTGCACAAGTGTACGCGCAGACACAAGTGCACTCTCTATTCCTGTCACTCTCATACTCCGGTGGGACGACCACTCGACACGACCAGTGAGAGTTAAGGCGAGCAATCTAAGCAATCAGATGGTGGATATATTTACAGATGGCGCTTTTACTTTTTATGAATTCTTTGTTTGAAGGGTAGAAGCTTACCCTCCATAATGTAAATCTTAAAATACCTATTGGTTCTTGTTTCATGAAAGTATATGTATTAAATACAGATAGAGGATATAAAACCACTAACTAGTTTTTGGGGTATTAAATAGACCATATTCATTTGCTGTATTAAAAAATGGCTGATTGCACTGCATTTTGTTGGTTGTTATTGGACCCGATAAGCATTACTGTATCGTTGTTGGATTCATATTTTATTAAGTTTTAGAACTGTACTTGGAATCCATGATTTTTTTTGACAAAAGTGACAATTATGTTAACTTGTAATTTTACGTACAGACTATAATTCATATTAGTTAAAATAAAATTTGACAATACTGTTTTAAAAAAAATCATGTATATTCTGCTTGAATTTAGCAATAAAAAAGGTATCTAAATCTATACATATAATAAAATTGTAACTAAGCCGAATCTGTACATTAAATATTTTTTGGAAAAATCTTATTGAAATAAACATTATTATCGATACAGAGGTCGAATCTATAGTTTTTAGAATTTTTGTCTGTTTGTTAACGTATCACAGAAAAACCCCTGGAGGGATTTTGGTGAATTTTGGTATGGTGATAGCTGGTTATTTGGGTCAACATATAGGATACTTTTTGCCGCGGGAAAATGTCTCATTTCTGAAAAAAAATACAAAAACTGCAATGTAAGAGTATACTAATATGTAAAACTTAAGAATTTAGTTTTTGGTCATCTGAACGCGGGCGAAGCGGCGGGCAATGCTAGTGATACTATAAATTGTTACAAAAAATAAAACAACAGTTTATTAGTAAAGTTGTAGGTATAATTTGTTAATCATATAACTCAAGTTATCTTTTCACTTTGAATCTTATACAAAGAATATAATACAATTATAAAATATATGCGCATATTATGAATGAATGTCAACTGAATACTGCATTTCTAATATGGAAATTGACGATATATTCAGAATTTGTTCTTTGAACACTAATAGCAAAAGGATCTGTAGGGTGGAAGGTAAATGCTACGAGACGTCGCGCGCTCGCCGGCACCGACTGACCGAGGACGCCTGCGTAAATCTTAAACTTCAACAGTCCTGAATCTCGTGCGTAAAAACTGTAAAAATAATTAAAAAATGAATAAATCGTAAGAAATTCCAGGTTCAGTAAAAATTGTAAGGAAAGTAAATTTTAAGAGCTATATTTTTGCGCGATGAAATAAACAAGTTCAGTTACTAAGCAGATAGGTTTGCAAATAACCATTTCTATAGTTGACAACAAAAAAAAAGCAGTCATGAGGATTGACGACAGAAGTGAAAACTTAAAACCATAAACAAACAGTTGTTATTGTTGGATATTCAAATTAATTGTTTGATCTTAAATTAAAATTTATAAATTAAAACTGTTTACATTTATCTGGTTTTGATATCTATCCGCATTCGGCACTCAAGAGTCAAGAGTGTCAGAGCGTCAACACGTCACGGGACCGTGTCGATGACGACTAATACATCATTTAATTACTCCCCATCCAAACCTGCCTATAGAAGTTTTCACTTCAAAAATAGATTTTTATTTATAAAAGAATTTAATCTATGAATTTTCTCACTGAATAACATGTTAAAAAACACAATATGTGTTAATAATAAGTATGTATGCGTGAGAGATTTACTTACCGTATTGGATACTCTCCATAGGCCTTAGGTCTTTCCATAACCGAGACCCATTTGTCGTCATAGCTAAATAATCCTAGGTCTAAATATGGTGATCCACTATATGACTGGGCACTTATTGGCAATTGCGCTAGTATTCGTTTAGTTGCTTCAGTGCGCCCGCCATATATGGCTCTAACAATGGTCTGTTTGAACCTTTGCTGTGTCAATCTAGCATATAAGTTGTTCGAGGGAGAGCAAGTAAATTGTGAATCAGCACATAATCTCGCATTTCTAAAGCAATCACAATAATTTTCGAAAAGTTGGAGTAAACCCTCTGATGTATTCTCATACACCTCTAATATTTTACTATCACTTATGTTGTATATGACGAAAAATGAAGACTGACTGTTTGGCTCGGCTACTCTCAGTGTCACTACCTCTTCACTTGCATATTTTATAAAAAGATGATCTTCATCTAATAACTGCATTTTCCACATTCTTAAACTTTTGAACATGTCGAAATATTTGTAAAATTTTCTTAACTCTAATGGATCTTTTGATTCATCACTTATGGACTTTGCTCTTTTAAACAGAAAGACGAGAAGCCTGTGCTTGAGGCTATTAATTGTTTCTTCATAAAATGGTCTTTCATTCATCATTGGAGAAAAAACTGAACTCACAATAAATGGATCATCATCATAACAAAATCTGCCAATTTTTCTGATCTCTATTAACATTCCTTCTACAATTTGAAATAAATGTATTGTTTGGTGTTGTACTGACAACACAGCTAAAACCTCCTTATATAGGTAAATGCCTTGATTATGTGATAAGTAAATCTTATCAGTTCTAAAATGTTTTGTGTCACACAATTTCCCATGGTGCAAGTCAACTAAATGAAGAGAATAGTCTTCTAAAGCAGATCTGTAATAAATAATGACTTTATTAAGTCTAATAGTAAAATAATACATATTGTTTTATATTTAAGGCGTAAAAATATTGTTGCTATTAAATATTTAAACTTAAAAAATGACATTCCGAATACTACAGTGACAGACACGGAATAAATACTAGAAATAAGGATAAACTGATAACGCCTTCAAAAATGAATAGATCGTTCGTAAAATCGATTTCAAAAGCCGCATAAAACTGGAATTGAAAGGGTTTCCTTTTTCTATAAACAGAGGTGTTAGACGAGGAGACCCAATATCTCCCAAACTGTTTAATTCCATGTTGGAACATATATTTAGAAAAAAAGACTATGTGAATGAGTATATTTACCTAGGACAAATTATCTCCCTGAAAAAAAGACTTTCAACACTTACCTTCTTCCTTGTATTACATATGGCTGTGAAACTTGATTTCTGAGATAGAGGAGATTGATAGCAGTGAAAAGGAGCATGTTGGAAGTCAAACTGAGTGAAAAAGTCAGATATTCAGATTTCAGAGATAAGAAGAAAAACTAAAGTTACTGATGTACTGGCTCTTATAGACCATTTGAAATGGGACTGGACATGACACATGCTAAGATGTAAAAGTAACAAGTAGAGTAAACAAGTGACTCCATGGTAGCCAAGAGACGGGATTAGAAGAAAGTGGTGTCCAAAAATAAGATGGATAGACAACATCCGCCTAACCTTGGGGCCATACTGGACCAGAGTTGCAGAAGATAGAGCACAATGAAGAGAGTTGGAGGAGGCCTATGCCAAAAGGCATGACGAACTACAGGACATATAGTTTATGACCTTTTAAAAAAATATAGTTTTAATTTCTAAGTATAAAAATGTACCCAAATTCGGAATAAACAGCTTAATATATGTATTATACATATAATATTGTACACTAATATTATTTTAAAAGAGCAACTGTTGAGTTTCTCGCTGGCTCTTCTTAGCAGAACTGGCTTCCGCTGGTGGTAGATCCCTCATGGGCTTACTGACATTTAATTTAAATTTTAATATTGTAAAAAGTGATGATTCAAAAGTGAAAATCATTAAGATTATATACTTTTATATACCTTATTGTTGGAGTAACTGCCTCATTATTACTATGTATATGGTGAAAGTGCGGCCTCAAGTCATCAGGAATGTGTGCCGCCGAACCAACTATAACATAACGTCCATCTTCAGTGAAAAGGCTACATTCTCTGTTCAATTGCTGTTCCATAAATGGGAGCTGACCAGAGTTGCGTTCCTGTCTGGAAGCTGACCTTTGTTGGCATACATTTACTGTGAATTTCGGCTGTAATCAAATGATTCTTAATTTTATATATCAACATACTATTTGCCGAATTTTATGAAGTTATGTAGTTTTATTTAAATGCAGTTAATATGTACATGATTTTGTTAATTTAAACAATATTTAAACAGTTTCCATAATCTGCGTATTAATATTGACACTCACTACAATTTATAATGAAATTATCAAATATACCTTGAAAAACCTATAAAATATATGGGTTCTTATTCTGTGATGTGCATCAGCATCAGCATTCAATAAATCTGATGGGTACCCTGCAACAAGATCACCAGCGGCTGCAGCTCCTCTATATTCATATATCTGCATAAAAAAACAGATGGTTTTAGAGTGGAAATAATTTCAAAATAACATTAAACAGAAAAAGATGTTTTACCTCTAGAGATGTTTGGTCTGCAGAAAAAGCTATAAAATGTTTTCCATCAGGGCTAAATTTCCTCAAGAAACATGGTGGTTTTTCTACATTAACTATTGTCAAGTTAGGAAAAACATTTTGATAAAACTCACGCACTACATGAAAATGAGATCCAGGTTTTCTAGAACCATAAATTTCTCGGTCCATAAGTCTCATGACAATGTTTTGAGGTTTAATTTTCCTTGGTACAATTTTATCAGTACAAAAAAAATCATCATCTTTAAGGGTTCCAGGAGGAACATCTTCATAGTAAATATTATCAGCGTTACTGTTTGTATTCATTTTAGAATTTCATTACCCTACTTAACATTTCAAAATTATTTTATTAACTTTATTATTTTATAGATTTATTTAAAAATATATGTACTTAAGAATCTATTATGATTTTTGTTTTAAAATTGGTTTATTTGATATTTCTTTATCTAATTCCTACAATAGGTAAACATTTTTATTTGTGACATTTTGACTTGACATTCAGTGATTCAACAATCCAATCAACGTACTCATGTCACTGACGCAATCGGTTTCTGGCAAAAGATTCTTACAATAATATTTCGATTAACATATGCCTTAAAAAATCAATTGCAATGTTTTAGTTATTAAATAATAAATAAATAAATTTGAACAATCTTCAGTGCAATATTAATACCATATATATTGTGTCAAGCATAAAAATTTAAAATGTCACATAACTATTTTTATCTACAACTTAAAGTAACGTCAAATTTTGAATTTCATGTGGTTGGTGATTACTGTAAATTGTAACAAAAATGCAATATATAAGAATACAAAATGCTACGGATATTTTATAAATTTATATATGTTTAATATTAATTTTCAAAATCATATATAAATTAAAATACATAGTAATAAGTCACTAAACCTCGGACGCAATGGAAGAGCCAAGTCAAACGTTTCGTTATGAAAAGATTGACTTCTTAGGAGAGGGACAGGTATTTATTATTTAGTTTTTATTTTTTATTAGTAGCTATTTAAAACTACGTCATTTAAGATATATTCTATGTTCATTAATTTAATAATTTTAAGTTTCTATATAGAGCTCCTGTCTCTGTTTTAGTTTGCGACAGTTTACAAAGCCCGAGATGTTAAAACTGATAAAATAGTTGCTGTAAAAAAAATTAAACTTGGCTCAAGGCTAGAGGCTCAAGATGGTATTAACAGAACAGCTCTAAGAGAAATTAAGCTATTGCAAGAGTTACAACATATAAACCTCATTGGACTCTTAGGTAAAATGATGATACTAATTTATTTGGATTTTTTATTATCTTTAGCTATTGTTTGAGCTAAAACTACCTGATCTGATCTAAAGAAATTTTTACCAAAGTTGCTGATAATATTAAAATTTCAGATGTATTTGGGCAAAAATCTAATGTTTCCTTGGTGTTTGACTTTATGGATACTGACTTGGAAATAATTGTTAAGGATAATAATATTGTACTTACACCAGCCAATGTAAAGGCCTATATGATTATGACACTAAAAGGTAATTTGACATGGTTATCTTTCTTTTATGGAATCTCCATTTTTGTTTCATTTTGATATTATAATCCTATATTTTTAATAGGTTTAGAATACCTACATCAAAATTGGATATTGCACAGAGATCTAAAACCCAATAATTTGCTGATCAATAGAGAAGGAATTTTAAAAATTGGTGACTTTGGTCTGGCAAAAGCTTTTGGGTCTCCAACAAGAATAAACACACACCAAGTAGTGACCAGATGGTACAGGTAAATCAATAACATTTTTAAATTAAAGAATCACTGTTTATAATGATAATTGCAAATTTTAAGATTATAAAAGTTAATGTAGTGACAAAAAGAAAATTATTAATAACAGTCACTAATGTCTTTAATATAAATAGGTCCCCAGAACTTTTATTTGGTGCTAGACAATATGGTACTGGAGTGGATATGTGGGCCGTTGGCTGCATACTTGCTGAACTCCTCCTACGTGTTCCCTTCCTTCCTGGAGAATCTGATCTTGACCAACTAACTCGCATTTTCCAAGTATTTGGAACACCAACAGAAGAAAATTGGCCAGTATGTTTAAAATGTTTGTTATTGTAAAAGCAATTGCAATATTTTAATGGCAATTAAAGTTTTATTAAAAGTGTATTAATATTGTATGTAGTGTATTAATATATATATATATATATGCTTGATTTCAAATTTAAAAACAAAATTTTATTTTCTTCTCTTATTTCTTATAAAATTCTTACCAATGTTTTTAATTTCCTTAGGGTATGAAGAGTCTAACAGATTATGTGCAGTACAAACCTCTACCAGCACAGCAACTACGTCATATATTTAGTGCTGCTTCTGATGACTTAATTCAACTATTAGAAAGTCTACTCTCTCTTTATCCACCTCAGCGGTGTGACTGCACACAAGCATTACAAATGGCATACTTTAGGTAATATTTGGTAAATCACCATTGTTGGGAATTAGTTGGGTGTATATTTTTTATTTTCATAGTTACTTATTATCTTAATAAAATTTTCCAGCAATAAACCAGCACCAACAGTGGGGTCAAAACTGCCGATGCCATCAAGCGTATTAAAAATAGAAACAAAAAAACCTTCTCTTAAAAGAAAACTTCTGGACAACATTGACGGTGGATCACTTGCAAAAAAACTTCAATTTTGATGTTTTTAATTTTGATTTTAAAACCAAATAGGACTATGAATGTATTGATTAATTTTAATAGAATGCACACGGTTGGGAGATAAAAAATTACATTGCCAGAATATATAAAAAACAAGTGCAATTATAAAGAACAGATTAATGTAAATGAATTTCTAAGTAAGACTGTGTTTTGTGCATATACATATTCATGGACAAGTACATGAAGCAGGACTTTGGATAATTTAAGGTATAGATATAGTAGGACAAATGATATGAAAATATATATTTGATACTAAAAATAATGTTGTTTATTTTAAAATATTTTTAATAATTGGTATATTTTCATTCACTAAAATTTATAAATATTCAAACAGCACATTTTTTAAACTGATGAATGGTTTTTATCTTGCTACTTTTGACTTTAATCTGCAACAAAGATTTTCTACATTAGCACAAAAATTATTTCATTGTATGTAAATAATTAAGAATAATTGATACTAAGAATTTAAATAACTATGAATTAAAAAAACTGGTTAAGTGCGAGTAGGACACGCACACGAAGTATTCCGTACGTTCGTACAAGATATAACACTATATTATTAGGACTGACCACGCTGATTAAAATCAGCTTATTCGTTTTTTTGCATGCGGCCATTTTGAACCATCTTTCCTTTTTATTATTTGTTGTTATAGCAGCAATAGAAATACACTATGAAAATTTCAACTCTACGTATTTCGGTTCATGAGATACAGCTTAGTAGTAGGGTTCCTTTGGCACCCTTCGTGTATGGAACCCTAAAAAGGTATTAAATTATATATATAATAATTATTGATTTTTTATTCAGGGCATTAGCATAAAGAGACACAATTGTGTTAATGTAACTAATCAAAAACACCCATTTCAAAATTATTTTTTTAAATTATGTGATTGCTTAGGATTCTTCCTTCTACTTACTAGGTCATCTTAAATATCGCATTAGTTGTGCGCACGAGGCACGCGGGCTCGCCCAATGACGTCACGTGCGAGCTTAGCGCCAATCTCGACATTGTACACGTAATTCTAAAAGCAAAAACACTTATAAAAATCCACACATCTGGCGATTGTTTATTGATTTTAACCGAAATGTTATATTAATTTATGCATGGTTAGTCAAAAATATCGATCTTCATGACGAACCGTTTCCAGGTTAAGCTTGTAGGGCCAACTCGTGGCAAGTTACGGTTATACAAATCAATACGAAAATAAGAGTTCCCAACTGTCTTATAAAATTAAGTACGGCTGTCGGGTGCACCTCACCCTCTCTCGTCTCACCGCGCACTATTGGCCTTTCTACTGTCTATCAGTAGTGTTTTATAATGATTAGTATTACGTCAAAACAATCTGTTACTGAATTTTCCCTCAAATAATAATAAAAAGCTTTCGCTCGCGATTACGCTTGCGTATTTTTTTATCATAAATTGTTTCGTCCTAAAGATCGCGCTGATTTTAGATAACCAATAAATAACCTTCATGACATATTAGGCTATAAATTGATTTTTTAAATCGGACGATTCTAGAGATTAGCGCGTCCAAACATACACAAAAACACTTCAAATTAAAAATGTTTTTATAGTATAGATGTGTCTTAAATTTTAGTCTTGGAAATGTCAACATTAGTAAAGAACAAGACCTTAACATAATTTTCAACCGACTTCAAAAAGGAGGAGGTTTTGTCGACCTGAAATGTTGGTAAGGCCAGAAGGTGGATACTTTAAGTGTGGGCTAATGTTGTTTGATTTGACAAACCCAATACGTTAGAAATGGATTTTAGAGCCTGATTTTTAATGTTACTAATAAAAGCTAATTTTAGTTTGTCAGACTTCATATAAATATTGGAATCAAACTAACTTAAACGGTTTAAAAGCGAATATTTTGTTAAAATACTTTATAAATGGAAAAATAAAAACTTAAAAAAATAAATAAAAACCGACTTCAGATATTTTTTAAGCTTTTATTATATTTGATCTTTAAAGTACAGGTTAAAAATAAAACACACTATGAAAATGGAATTTGGAAGAGTCAGAGTTTGTATTTGAACTCGAAATTATCTGAAATTGGATTAAATATTGAATTCTATATTATGATCATAAAAAAAAAATGTTGACTATCTAGTATCTACAGTCTACACAAAATTCTTATTTATTGTATAGAGGTTATGGTCACCTTTATTTAGAGAATTCTCATATTGCTGATGCAGCTTTTCAATTTTCTCTTTATTCTTCTTTATTTTAATCTGTACATAACATGTTAGCTGTCTTCTTTGTAAATAGTTAACATTTTTTCAATTTTGTGATTTACTTCCAGAACAACAAACTTATAGTTTCTGCAGATAAACATATGTATATAAAATAACGTAATTTTTATAACACCGTGAGTGTGGATAAAACTTCTACTGGAAAAACTTGCGTTATACTTATTTGTTATTGTAATTATAACAATAAACAAATGAAAATATAATGCAGTAAATAGATTTTGGTAATTTTATGCGATACTTTTTAATTCAAGTACGAAAGCGAACTTAATGCTTGTGTCAAATCAAGGAGATATAGACAACCCACTTACTACCATATTAGGTTTGAGATCCTGGGTTCGATTCCCGGGTTTGGCCAATAGGGATTTCGTGTAAAAAAAAATTATACATCATCAGAAAAGGATGGCTGCCATAACTAGCATTTCACAAGGATTAAATACTACAAATACAAATGTATATTATTTATATTTAACCTTGGGTGTATGCGACACAACTGATAAACGTCCATAAACTCCATATTTTCGTTCATCTTCCGGCCTTAAAGTGCCCATTTTTTTCATTACGAGGTAAATCTAATAAAATATATATATATGTGTTATTGTATAATAATATATAACTTGGTTCTTATTTTATTACAAAGACTGGGCAGTTAATTGTTTTAAGCTATTATGCATTTTAAAATTCGTAAGGACATTCTAAGTTCTAACTCTACAGTACTATAACACAGTATAACACATAAACATTGTCCCCGTGTGAGGACCGAATCCACGCGATCTACAATTACAACACCTACGTGTTGTTTATATTAAAAAAATATCATAATATTGAGTGCGTGTTCTGTCCTATTACCGGTCAAAGCATATATGTAAGTGAAATTGGTAATAGAGATTTTCCATCGATGTACCTACCACCCGAAGAGGCATACATAGGTACTTAATAGATTATTAAATAATAAAAAAAAACAAGAGTTAAGTTTTTACGGCCTGGGCCTCTTTCCCCCTGTATAGGGCCTGAAGGCAGGCCCGTGCTAGCAGTGAGACATTAAGAACAGCTGAATATATAGGTATTTTAGCTAACAGTCAGACCTGCTCAAGCATTCCATAGCTGCGTATAAGGAAGTCGCGCTGCGCCAGCAGGTTGACGCGCTCGCGTTCCTCCTTCTCAACAATAGGGTCCGGCTCGTACGAGCACAGTACGTACGGGGGCTTCGCGTCTTTGTCTTCCGATTGTGCTGTCTGTGAGGAAATAGTGGATGATACATGAAAATATTGCTGAGAGAACTTAGCAAGTTTTCGAAAGACGTGTGAATATTCCTAACTGTTTTTTAATAAATGGTTATATGTAACTCAAGGGTAGTGCCAAATAAAATTTAAAAAAATATAATAATAATAATTTACTTGAAATAATTTTGATGTCAGTGTGGAGCACCCTTATTCGTAAAAACTAAAAAGTCCAATTCAATCAATTACCTGCACTTGTTGTATGGAAGGCTTGGCGGCGAGCTTGCCCTTGTCTTCCTTGCGGCGCTCGCGGCGGGGCTTCCCCGGGACGTTCCTCGCGCTGGTCGAGACACTTGCTTCTTCTTTTTCAGACTTTTCCACTTCTTTGGGTTTCGGTTGCGATGGTTTCTTTAGTGCTTCAGCTTTTGCTTTAGTTTTCTGCAAAATAATATGCTTAGATTAAATCTTCAGAAATAAGTTGGGATAATAAAGAGTATAACTGACTGACTTATTATCCACTAATACTAAGTATTTTATGAGAATCGGAAATAGTTGGCACTTATAAATGCTAACACATTTATAAATGTTTCTTATTAGGGATACTTACGAGTACCTATTCATGTGCCGATGTAGCGTGGTGTGTGGTTTTTGCGCAGTACCTGGAACTCCTGGCGCTGCTGCTGCGTGCTTTGTCCTATCTAGTTGCTTTCGTTAGGCGACTGTATGGATTAGATAGACTGCACCGCCAGCTTGTGCAGTGGTGTATATGTCACTATATTTGTCTCTGTAAGGATATTTATTCCTACCTGACTTGATTTATTTATTCCCGTACCTGGAAGTCCTGCCGCTGCAGGCGCGCGCAGTCGCCGCGCGCGCGCGAGGCGGCCGTGGCGGTGTACAGCGAGCCCGCCGGCTGCTGGAACAGCGACGCGTACTGCTCGCCCACCGGGTACACACGCCTGCATTTACGTACTGGGCTTTAAAGATACTTATTTTTCTCCAAACAGAAAAGACTTTACCTAATACTGGAAAAACTGAATATTCTATTGTGTTCAGGCTTTTCTAACGCCCCACTGCTGGGCAGGGGCCTCCCTTCAGTACGAGGGGGATCATGCCATAGTCCACCACACTGGCTAAGTGCGGGTTGGCGGACTGATCATATCTTTCGAAAACTTGCTAGGTTCTCTCAGACATGCAGGTTTCCTCACGATGTTTTCCTTCAAAGTAAGGCAAGTGGTAATCATGTTAGAAATGATTCGCACATGAAAATATCAGAGGTGCGAGACCCGGGATTTGAACCCGTTTAAGTTAGTACATTTAGTATGTATAACAAAGATGAAAGACATGATATATAGTTTTTTTTTACCTGAAATTGCCAAGATGAGTTTCTTCCCACTGGATTTGCGTCTGCCAGGGACTTTTCTCAGGCTCTTTTTCTTCAGTAGGTGTGTACTCAGCAAATCTATGAATAATATAATGTTTCAAATATCACAAATTAATTCAAATCGTTTAGTAAAATACATTTTATCGTTTAAAAAATAGTCTTTTGATCTTACTTTAGTATTTTACTAGCATTGCTCGCAGCTTCGCCCGCGTTCAGATGACCAAAAACCAAATTCTTAGGTTTTATATTAGTATAATCTTACATTACAGTTTTGTATTTTTTCTTAAAAATGATCGACCATGATTGCTGTGAAGCATACGAAACGTCGGGAACCAAAAATCGAATTAAATCCGCGAAAGAATTCGAAAAAATAGTTTTATTCAAAATGTCAAATATTCGAGTGAATCTAAGAAAGTATTAAGTGATAGATAAATAAATTTACTTATTGGTCTGTAGTAGTCTATCCCGTATCCTCTTCCGGTCTTCTTCCAGCACTCGCTTTTTATCACACTGCCATATATTTAACATGGTAAACGTGTCAGTGAGAAGATTCTCCTTCACTTCGCGATCTAATTGCGTGTCCGTGTGAAAACTCGGCGAGTGATTCACCTGTTACATTACTATTATTAATTTAGGTTGAAATACTTATTTTGTATATTAATAATAAAATCACCCTTGTTTGGATAGAGCAGACAGTCGGTATACCTCTATTCCTAAAAACTGCCTCCGTGGTGTAGTGGCTAGCATGTACGGCTGCACACCCTGGAGGTCCTGGGTTCGAGTCCCGGGTCGGGCCAAGTTTAGTTATTGAGTCTTTCTGTATAGTAAGTCTCAGTAACAGCCCGGAGTTGGGAAGTTGGCGGTGTTTCACCCCCGTGCCTCGGAGAGCACGTAAAGCCGTAGGTCCTGCGCCGACACTCTCACTGGTCGTGTCTCGCGTCGTCCCACCGGAGTATGAGAGTGACAGGAATAGAGAGTGCACGTTGTGTCTGCGCGTACACTTGTGCACTATAATATCTCCTGCGCAGTTGGCTAGTCTCAATGAGATTGGCCGCCGTGGCCGGAATCGGCTAGGATAACATCATCATCATTCTTAAAAAGTAATTAATTTATAGATAAAAAAATATATATACTGTATACATACTTCCAAAATGTAAGGATGCAACTTGTGATCCAAAAGAATATCGAAACCGAGAATCTCAAAACACGCATGCACCTGCATGTAAAAAATATTTTATATAAATTAAAGATTTTAAATATCTAAATATTTGTAATATGTCTATGTCTTTACATTTGATATTAATTTGCCAACAGTTATTAAGTACGTAGGTATGTACCTATTAGGTATCTAATTATTTATTGCATTATTTACTCTACGAATGATTTTCATTTCAAGGCAAACCTTTGTTACGCGGCTACACAGAATAAGTTTTACAAAAATAGAAAATAAAGTAAAACAGACGATAAAAAAAGTGTCTGCTAATGCTAGTTCCGACATAAGGAAAAATAAAAAATTGAAATACAATTTTGCTCTTTAACAACAACCATGAACCTCGTCAGTATTGTAAAGTATAATAAATAAATAATAAATATTTTAGGACATTAACACACGACACCATCTAGTTCCATGGTAAGCTACGAGGCCTGTGTTATGGATACCAGATAGTCGATACACTACACATATATAACTTTATATACATATTATAAATACAAACACCCATGACTGGAGTACAAACATTCGGGCTCGACTCGAACCTGCGACCGCTGGCTCGGCAAGTAGGGCCACTACAAACTGAGCCAAACGTGTCGTCAAAAAATCATTTACTAATACAAAGTTCCTACATTCTAAATAGTTATTAAAACTTTATGGATTAGCATTCATGTGTATTTAATAAAAAGTACCTTGACGCTAAATAATAATAAATTAAAATGTAAGGAATGAAACCATATCATGCGAAGGGAAACAAGCGTGATAGCTGTGCTTGAGTATGGGCCAGGCGGATATGATCGTCTTGACTATAACTTGGTCGATGGCGCGCCACAGCCGGTCCAGGTCCACGCCTTGGGAGACCAACACCTTGTTCAACGTAGATATCTTGCTACCACCCGAAAATATTACATTTATCAAGTGAATTTGGTTTCAATTTTTTTTTATTTATATTAGACGTGGAACTAAAATATTTTTCTTCTCTATAGACTTTTCTTTTGAAAAATACGTTTACGTCCACCCGACATGTCTGTAGTATGCAGTGTTATTCCTATACAATACCCATTGCCACAGTAAGATGTGGAAAATTGCTAAAAACTGGCAAGATTTTTTTTTAATTTCTTAGGTTGTTTATACGTAAAATAATCAAAAAATTTCAATAACAGGATTAATTGCACAATACACCTTATTAATGTTTACTTTTTATAATAAATATAAACGTGGTAATTATAATCGTAGTGCTTTTAAAGTGTAATGTAGCTACATAGTACATCATACAGAACATACATAAGACCACTCGCTTACACTTACAAGTAAAAAGAAAAACTGTAGATTACCGTACCTACATATTTTTATAAAACGAAATAGTTCCACCACATCTCTTGGACGTGCGCAATCAAATTGTCTATTGAGTCATCCAACTTTTTATGTAGAAATCTATATATATAAAATAGTAAAAGATATATAATGAATGGTGTGTGAACAATCAACAAAATGCAGTCTCACCGCTTGCTGCCCGCTTCCGAGTCGTACACGTATGTACGGCTGTGTTTGTTGAGCGCGTAGTTGGTGAGGTGCATGAACACGTTCGTCGTGTTGTTGATGTTCGGGTCCGCGTACTGGCTTGTTGCGAACCTAAGCATTTATATAGAAACTTTGTTCAAACAAAGACAATGGTAGCCCAGTGTTAACGCGCTCGTTCGAAAAATCAAGGGTAGCGGGTTCAAATCCCGACTTTGAGTCTGGTGGCAACTCTGATATTTACATGTTTTTAATTTTAACATGAAGGACAACATCATGAAGAAACTTGCATATCTAAGAGAACCTATGTAAAAGTTTTCAGAAGACATAATTCGTTGGCTCACTATTACAAGGTTCTATGTTACAATTTTAGTACTTATTTAGTTATTAATGCTACAAGGTTCTATGTGTCATTAGCTACAGTTTTGCAAAAACAAACCACTAGATAGCGGCACTTTAACTACAAAATATTCAATTTTACATAGTTCTATGTTGTTTTTCTTTACGATAACAAAATAACGAAGTTCTATGTAAAAATTACTAAACTTCATTAAAATTAACATAGAACCTTGTAATAGTAAGCCAACGAATTTATGATGTCTGACAAGTGACAACGCGCACATGGTTAGCGTAATGGACTATAGCTTGACCCCCTTACAAATCTCAATGCGAGCGATGCCCGTGCCCAGCAGTAGGAGATAAAAAAGGTCTGAATGAAAGTGAATGAACAAAGTTGTGGTCAACTTTTAGAATCATTAATTAAATGCAAAAAAACTTATTAAAATATTAAAAAAATATATAAGTTCAAGAATAAGGATTTTTTGGAACTAATGTTAGTCCTACATTTCGGTAGACAATATTACTTTACTTATAAAAAATTCACAACACAGGCTACCTAGTTCATATTATGTATCTACTGTATAAACAAGTTATATCATAATATCTATCTTATTTACCATAGCAGAGAGCTCATTTAGCTATGATGTTATTGCTTACATAATTTAACAGTTATGTATAAAGCTATACATATACACAATTTAATAGGTACACAACAGTCTATTAAAATATATTTATTTCACTTGAGGTTTGACAAGAAAACTTATGGTTATGGAAATTACATCAAAAAATTACATAAAATCTTACAACTGCGTGAAAATGAGAGTCGTGGAGGATCGTTATGATATGGATGTTTACGCGTTCGGCGCTCGCGGCTCTCTGCCTGGTCGAGCCACGCCGTCGCTCACGCGTTCGCGGGAGACGGGGGGGCGCGGGCGCCTAAACTATACGATCGTACGAAACACGGCCCTACAGGATCGTACATGTTCCGACACGATACCCCGCGATCACCGTTGTTTGTAAAAACCCCGCGTTACACTCTCCCCCTCTAGCCTAACTAAGTGTCCTCACAGTTGGGCTAGTCTAGGTATCTACGCGGCCTACCACGTTTACGTTTTTCCCTAACGGGAGGCTCTATCTGGCCGGTAAATGGCGTGAGGTGCGAAACGTGATATTTCCCTATATCTCTTCCGGTCTGTACGTTCTCTAACCCGTACGTAGTAGAACTAACTACCTTGCCTATCTTGTATGGGCCGTCCCGGCGTGGGATAAACTTCGCTGTCTGTCCACGTCCTGCATCGTTCGGCCCCTGCGTTTTAAGTAGCACCATATCGCCTACCTTATACTCTGGCGGCGATCGCCGTCTCTGGTCAGCAGCCCCCTTTATATAGTTAGTACTGAACATGCGCATACCTGTACAATAATATCTAGTGCGAACACGGCCTAAAGTGCGCTCCACGCCGAAATGTCCTGCCATAGGCGCGTCGTGGAGTTCAGCCATCACTTGCCTGCGTTCGTGTTCGGGCACAACAATACAGCATTCTTCTCCATCGTCTGACTCTAAGCTATATCTATGAAGTATACCATCGGAAATAGTGTACCCACGATCGGACCATGGCCTCCCCCTAGAAGGTTCGTCAGACTCCATGTCCTCAATGATTTTGCGAATCTCTGGATCTAACAGTTGATTGCTGCGGATATCACCACTACTCCTCTTTGGTAAGTCAACGACTGTCATACATAATTCGCACTCACCTTGGTTCTCAGCACAAACTGGTCGCGAAAGCGTATCTGCAACCACGTTCGAGCGTCCCGGTGTGTATTGGATGTTGAGGTCGAACTCTTGCAATGTTAGGGCCCACCTAGCCAGCCGACCACTAGGTGACCTCTGACTCATTAGCCATCGCAAAGGCTGGTGGTCCGTCCTAACCGTTACCTTCGCAGTATCTACGTAACCGCGGAACTTACCTAACGCCCACACGACGGCGAGTGCCTCTCGCTCCGTCGTGGAATAATTCTTCTCTGCACTAGTGAGAAGACGACTTGCGTACTCGATCGGTCTCTCATCGTGTCCCTCCCCCTGCATTAAAACAGCCCCAAGGCAGTAAGCGCTACTGTCAGTGCAGAGAACGAATGGCTTCGACTCATCCGCCTGACGCAGAATGGGAGCGGATACGAGGAGACGCTTTATCCGCTCAAACGCCTCCTGATGCTCGGCGTCCCATCGCCAGGCACTTGATTTCTTCAGGAGTGTTGTAAGAGGTCTCGCGATCTCAGCATAATTATTAATAAAGCGGCGATACCAACTCACCGTTTGTAAGAAACATTTTAAGTGTTTAACGTTCTGAGGGGCGGGCATATTATCAATAGCCGCCGTCTTATCTGGATCCACCTGGATTCCGCTTGGTACAATAACGTGTCCTAAAAACTTAACAGATTCTCTATTCTGTTGCTCCTGGGTTAACTTAGATCCTTCGTCTGCGCGCAACATCAGCTCATCAGATGCGGCGTGCAATAAATCTGTACCTGCAGGGTCAAGTGTGTACGAAGAAATAAAATTAAAGCACTGTCCGGGACTATCCATAAATGTCCAAGTGCGATGGGCAACGTTTATTACCATTCTGGCCCGAGACAAGAAATCTATACCTAGAAGTGTTCTAGTGTCACAACCTGGCAACACTAGTAATTGACACATTACACTATGGCCTTCGATATCTATACCTACCTCGGCCGTCAACAAGTCTCTCCACCCTTGTGTACCGTCAGCCAGGTGTACAAATCTTTTAACTTTACTAAAGTGTACTCCCAAGTCTACTAAAATTTTGTATAATAAAGGACTCGCAATACTATGCGTAGCGCCCGTATCCACTATCGCCACTCCGGTACGACCCATAATGGATATATTAACCATAGGATACGATTCACGCGTACTCACGTTAGTTAACTTAATACATGACGCACTTGTATTACTTATACTACTATTATTATTATTAACGCAATTATCGTGATTATTAAAATCTACATCCAAATTATTGAACGAAGTTTTACCATCCGAATTCGTTAAAGTTTTCACACAAATATCACATTTCGACCTCACGACACCTTCCTTGCCACAACCATAACAACGTATACCCTTACGCGTGCTATCGCTATACAAACGTTTATCATTATTATTATTGTTAATAACCTTCTCACGATTGCGACATTCTTCACTTATATGCCCAAATAATTTACAATAACTACATCGGGGCCTATTGTTTTTATTACTACGCGGAGTGATCGCGTTCGTACTATCAAAACTCGATCGAGTGAGATCGCGACCGGTAGTAGGGACTGATGTTCGTGAAATCGCGTTATTACAATTATTACTATTATTGTTATCCTTATTTACCTTAAGAGTTTTATACATATCCTCCGCGATCCTCGTTTTATACATTAAGTCATCTAAATTACGAACATTATCGCGGGAAACTCTTTTAACAATACGTCGGTGTAATAACCCGTAACAAATATCAACTTGCACTATTTCATCGAGCTTATACGGTAACTTTGCAATTAACGCTCGCACTTTACACAAAAACGACTCGGCGCGTTCTTCTTCTTGCTGCTCCGTCGCGAAGATCTGCCGTAGAATCTGATGCGCGGGCTGCGCCACGCCATACGCCGCGCGTAGGCGGGCGACCGCGTCCGCCCATGTAGTCACCGACGCCTTAACGCCGCGCCACCATACTGCCGCTTCACCCTCCAGCAACATCGGCAATCCGCGGAGTGCGAGCTCGTCACTCACGGCCGCACACTCCTTAAATATCTCGACGGCATCCAGGAACGCTTCTAATACCTCGGCGTCCTGGGACGACCCGTTGAACCGCGCTGTGCACTTAGTAAAACTTGCGTCGACACTCGCGACGCTGGCAGCAGTACCACTCCCGCTGTTCATATTATTTGTTTGAGAGGCCACGACTGGGGTGGAGGCCCTAAATTCACTGCTGGACGTCATCAGAGAATTGATAAGGCTTCTATTTGCTTCCACTTGCGCACGCGTGATCGTTTCCATCAGCGCGGATAGGAAGTGTTGGGGGAGCTGGGGTGCTGGTTGCTGTGTCGAGCCGGCTCGCGCAGCTCCGTCCACGTGGCCGTGCTCGATGGTGCTCTCCTCTCCCTCTGCGGCATCATCCCCTCGCTGCTGCCGAAGCGTTTCCCCTCTCCTCGTCATAGGCATCTTCACGCACTAGTATATAAGTTTAAAAGTTCGAGCCACTAGTATGGGCGCCAGTTTAATAGGTACACAACAGTCTATTAAAATATATTTATTTCACTTGAGGTTTGACAAGAAAACTTATGGTTATGGAAATTACATCAAAAAATTACATAAAATCTTACAACTGCGTGAAAATGAGAGTCGTGGAGGATCGTTATGATATGGATGTTTACGCGTTCGGCGCTCGCGGCTCTCTGCCTGGTCGAGCCACGCCGTCGCTCACGCGTTCGCGGGAGACGGGGGGGCGCGGGCGCCTAAACTATACGATCGTACGAAACACGGCCCTACAGGATCGTACATGTTCCGACACGATACCCCGCGATCACCGTTGTTTGTAAAAACCCCGCGTTACAACAATTAATTTTCGTTACATAAAAAAAACTTATCTAGTAGTTGGTTTGCGTGTCTGTTCGTATGGGAGGTAGGTACGTCGAAAAAAATAGCTGATAAAAAAGAGTGTTAATCCTCTTGCTTATACCAAATAATTATTTCGATTTATATGAAATATTGATTGAGCCGTTAGAGCATAAAAAAGTAACAAACACACAGTCACCAAAAATGTACAGTTATTATTACACCAATAATATTACCGTACCGTGATTCATTTACAATAAAATATCGAACTATAATTGGAAAATTATAATAAACTGCGAAAGTTTGTGTGTGTGTTTGTTACTCCCTGGCTCTAAAACAGCTGGACGGGTTTATTATTTATTATTTACATAGTACACAGATAGATTATGATCTGGAATAACACATAAGCTACTGTCAGGCTACCAGGGACGCACTCGGGGAAGCGAAGGTCGCTTGTCTATACATATAATGAAATTGTAACTAAGCCGAATCTGTACATTAAATATTTTTTGGAAAATCTTATTGAAATAAACATTATTATCTATCTATACAGAGACCGAATCTATAGTTTTTAGAATTTTTGTCTGTCTGTCTGTTTGTTACTGCAGCACAGAAAAACCACTGGAGAGATTTTGATGAAATTTGGTATGATGGTAGCTGGTTATCCGGGTCAACATATAGGATACTTTTTACCGCGGGGAAATGTCTCATTTCTGAGAAAAAATAGAAAAACTGCAATGTAAAAGTATACTAATATGTAAAACCTAAGACTTTGGTTTTTGGTAATCTGAACGCGGGCGGAGCCGCGGGCAATGCTCGTACATTTTTTTTTTGTGACCATATACGAACCTGACAAGTCCTTCATTATAAACAAAAATCCTTAAAGGATCACAGGAAGTAATGAGCGTGTATACTCTAATGTCAAACTTGTAGCCGTCCACGAGGTATGGCTTCGATAGGTAAACCTGAAATATATATTATTATGATTTTAGTCTATTGGGAACAACTTTTACTTACATATAATATTAAAGAAACTTTATTTCTAGAACTAGAACAAAATGTATTCATTTAATATTAAATCGTTAACAAGTTGAAATATTAAAATATAAGAAAATAAAATATTTTTAAAATATTTAATTATTCATATATTACTAACAATAAGAGACAAAATAATTTTATGTTAAATATTCACCTGACAAATAAGTTTATCAGTAGGTTTAATTTCTTTTAATGATTTGGTAAGATATATGCCACGTCCCTGACTGCCACATTCTGGTTTTATTATAAAGGTTTTATTTTTACGGGCTTTGCTGTAGTTCAATGCTTCTCCAAAGCTATAAAAATATTTAGTTTTTATATATTTTGTGATTTAACCATACATGTAAAGTAATATTTTGCTTCTGTGCTACCAGATTAAATACAAAAACGAACTTACTCAGCAGGCAAGCACCAGGTTTTAGGAAAGAAATTATATTCTTTTGGATAGATTTTTTGCATTCGGTTTAAATTACGAGCCAGCAAATCTTTCCTGGATAAAAAATTATTTTAATTATTAAAAAAAAGTATTTCACAGATATATCGTATTAAGTTTTAAGTCGATTTTTTCATATTCATTATTTGAATTTACCTGCAAATCTCAAGCATGCCTGGAAAATGATTAATGCGCTGAAATCTTTTCATTTCTTTAGCTCTTTCTACAGAAACGCTCATATCAGTCCAGTAAAAGTTCCAGGCCTCCTCTTCAGAAACCTCGCGCATACCGAAAGCGCTAGCTACTTTGCGGATAGACTCGTAACGACAGTTAGTTAGGCATATTGTTATTTGAGATCTAAAATAAAATAATATGGCTATTATTATGTAGATAATATGATTATTATTTACTGTTAGATGATAGTACGGGAAAGCATTTCAGCAGACAAAAAGGGAAAATAAAACAAATAAATATAATCGGTGATAATAATAATCATGATGATGTCCTCCCGACCGATTCCGGCCACGGCGGCCAATCTCATTGAGACTAGCCAACTGCGCAGGAGATATTATAGTGCACAAGTGTACGCGCAGACACAAGTGCACTCTCTATTCCTGTCACTCTCATACTCCGGTGGGACGACTACTCGACACGACCAGTGAGAGTTAAGGCGCAGGACCGACGGCTTTACGTGCTCTCCGAGGCACGGGGGTGAAGCACCGCCAACTTCCCAACTTCGGGCTGTTACTGAGACTTACTATACAGAAAGAATCAGTAACTAAACTTGGCCCGACCCGGGACTCGAACCTAGGACCTCCGGGTGTGCAGCCGTACATGCTAGCCATTACACCACCGAGGCAGTAAATTAAAATTATAAAAATATTGACATTTTGTCTTTGCAACACCTGGATAATTGCTAAGAAAAACGAATCCTCAACCTATAGATTAGCAAGCCCTGGGACACATAATACTGCATGAATTAGTAGTTATAGAAATCTAAATCCGTTATCTCAATGACTCTAATATAAACTACTGATATTACAGTTATGAATAAAAAATGACTTTTATGTATATAATTTTATATTTTTTCATAATCTAAATTTAAACGAGATTTTTGTAATATAATTTTACTTTTTTTACTTTTTCTATGTAATATTTTCATTTGTATTCAGCCCTTTTTAACGTCCCACTGTTGGGCACTTGCTAGGTTCTCTCAGGCAGGTTTCCTCACGATGTTTTCCTTCACCATAAGGCAAGTGGTGATCATGTTAGAAATGATTCGCACATGAAAATATCACAGGTCGAGACCCGGGATTTGAACCCGCCTCACTTGGTTTCTCAAGCGAGCGCGTTACCACTGCGCTACCACAATCATTTACCTCAATAGTATTATTAATAATAATATTTTCATTTATGGCGTTCCTATTCCTCCCGGCTTTTCTAATATATATTATTACCTCTTCCTTTTTTTTTTCTTGCAAGTAGCCTCTGCAGGTATAATAGGTGCAGTGCATGAAGTTGGTTGGGAGGTATCATCTTCTCCATACAATTTAGAGTCATAATTATGAAGCAATATGGATGCAATATTTTCTGTCATGTCTTCTTTAACCATATCTTCAACAATTTTTTCATCTAAAAAAGGCTTAATTTTATTTAAAACTCTAGACAAACAGAACCAAATCTATCCCACGGGAACCATACAATTTTGCGGGACAAAAAGTAGCCTATTTGTTATTGTGATGTATAAACTATATTATTGTAAAGTTTCATTAAAATCCAATCAATAGTTTTTGTGTACTAAGCTGTATAAGTTACTATAGTTTTTTAACTATCTAATGGGAACTCTTTAATTTTCCGGGATGAAAAGTATCTAAGATGTTGACCAGGGATATAAGGTACTACCAGGCAAAATTTCATTTAAATCAGTCCAGTAGTTTCGGAGATTAGCCCGTACAAACAGACAGACAGAGAAACAGACATTTAAAAAAATCTGGATTTGCTCTTCTCTTCTTACATCCCCTGACTCAGTTTTTACCATTTTTTTTCTATGTACAGACATTTGACCTCTACAGTTTTAATATAGTATAGATATGCAATATAAATCATATTAATTATACAAAAATATTTGTCACATGCACATGTTTTTAAAGAAAAAATATTGTTTATGTATATATGTTTTAGAACATTTAAAATTGAAACTTTAAACTCACCCTTAACTTTATCAGTTTTTCTTTTAGAGTTTATAATATATGTTTGCTTTGAATTGTTCATTGATTGTTGGTCTTCACTATACTTAAAAGTCTCATGCAAGTCCAACTAAAATAAAAAATACAGTTCATGTAGCAAGAATTAAAATCTGTATTATATGATAAGTCACAAAATATGAACGGAAAATGCTTCAAATAAGCATTTAAAGTGAAAATATTTAATAAAAAAAACTACCTAATTTTATTGAAAACCGACTTTTTAGAAAGTAGCCGCAATGTGCAGTATGTCATGTAAATGCCGGTTAAATACATATCAAAATAATAAAATGACTAACCTCCATTATAGAACATTAATTATATACATCTAACATTAATAATTATTACATTATCTTGCTTGAATTAAAAATATTTCGAAACTCGAAAAAAAAATAAGTCCAAATAAAGGACCAAAAATTGGCCTGAAACAAAAATAAATAAATCAAAAGTTTAATTTAATTATTGAATATCCTTCTTACCAGATTTCCAACAAGAACTACATTTTTATATCCCCATATTTTTCAATATCCACTTACAAAACTTTGTAGGAAGAATTTCATTAAAATTTTGATATTTTACTTTATCCATCGGTACACTGTTTTTTGTTTTTGTTTTATGTCAGCTGTTTCATGTTTGACATAATGTGATCTTAAAAATCTGTGGTAAAAAATTAAATAAGATGACTCGATGTTAGATAACTGAAAATGAAATGAACTTAATACCAATTTATTGTATAAAAATAGTCTTTTAAGGAGCTATATTAATAAAACATATTAAAATAGCTCTTTAAAAGGAACAGTTTACATTTTTCTTTTAAAATAATATAGTTCTCATATAATTTAATACTATCTCTATTATGTACTTTATATTAAAAATCATTTTAGTATAATTTTTTACGTTAGGCGATAGCGATGATATTAAAAACAAAATTTAATATTACTAGTGTATGAAAATGAAAATAAAATAATCTTACGGAAAAATACATTAAACTAAATGGAACGTTAACTAAATTACGATATATTTTATCTGTTATCAACGCATAGTCGTCAAATTTTAGTGCTACCTATTGCTATTCCGCCAAAGTACAGAGTCATCTAGAATTGATAAAATGGCAGAAGGCCAAGACGAACCCAAAAAGATTACAATTACAGTTAAAACCCCTAAAGAGAAGCAGCAAGTCGAAATTGAGGAAGATGCGGATATCAAAAAAGTAAGTAGAGTGACGCTAGGCCTTTTATTCATGGCGTAATATCATAGATATTGCATACGCAATCATTGATGACATTTCTGTAATCATTCGGCACCAAATTATAATAGCCTGTATGATTTTAGCTTAAAGAAGTACTATCCCCCAAATTTAATGCCGAACCGGAGCAATTATGCCTCATTTTTGCTGGAAAAATAATGAACGACTCTGACTCGCTCAAGCAGCACAACATTAAGGATGGACTGACAGTTCATCTTGTGATTAAAACTCCACCAAGGCCCGAACCTGAAGGAGGAACCCGCCGTCCTCCAGGTAAAGTTTAGTTTAAAATGAGTGAGCGTGATGCGTGATGAAGTTTATTTTAAGTACCTAATACCTGTAATGTTTTAATATCTTTTTAATTATGTTATAAGTATGTAATTAGGAAATTGTATTTTTACACACATAATCATATAAATTGACTTTAGTCAATTGAGACCAATATTTTTTTAGTAATCATGTTTACCAAACTTTTAAATGTTCGATTTACTTTATTTATTGTTTTTTTTTTTAAATTTAGTTTACATAATTTATTATATTTCAGCTGATATTGGTGCAACACCATTTGGGTTAAACTCACTTGGAGGTCTAGCAGGACTTGAGAGTTTGGGTCTAGGTCAAAGTACTTTTATGGATCTCCAGGTATCTATGATAATTTAAGAGAGCTTGCATTTATTATTGTTACTATAACAAAATGACAATAAAATTGGTAATTTTTAGGCCCGTATGCAACAAGAACTTTTGTCAAACCCAGATATGTTGAGACAAGTGCTTGACAATCCTTTAGTGCAACAAATGATGAATGATCCAGAAAATATGAGAACTCTTATTACATCCAATCCACAAATGCAAGATTTGATGGCTGTAAGTGAAAATCATTAATACTTAAACTTATTAAATCTAAATCTATGTAAATATCCCTTGGAATGTAGTAAAAGATAATTTAAAGTGGCTTATTTCTGACCTTGACGGTTATCATCAAAATTGTTTGTTATTACAAATTGTTACTTAAATGCTTAAAATTTATTCTTATCACTAATTTTACACTTGTTGCAAAAGTTTCCTTAAAAAATTTGCAAGGAAACTATCAATTCTTATGTATCATTGAAATTTGAGTGTATTACATGGAAATGATTGTGATAATATTATTTATATTTCTATACTGTCTATACTAATTTAAAGAGGTCTATGAAAGTTAATTTTTGCAACCAATAATTAGTAGTCAGAAGTTCAAATCAGAAACTTGTATTTATTATAGATCTTGTATCTAATTTAAACGGTAGCCTGTTATATCTATACTTATATAAATAATTATGGATTAATATTACATTCAAAATTTGTTTTAATGATTAATTATTTTCAGAGAAACCCAGAAATTAGTCACATGTTGAATAATCCTGAACTCTTGAGGCAAACTATGGAATTGGCTAGAAACCCCGCCATGTTGCAAGAATTGATGAGATCTCATGACAGAGCTTTATCAAATCTGGAGAGTATACCTGGTAAGTGGTTATTTTATTTTCAGTATCTATGTTTTGTGTATCAAATCAAACTATTTTAATAAATGTCTTTAAAAGTAATGTTTATAAAAATTGTATCTTAAACAAACTTATATAGTGCCCGGCAATTCAGCCGGGCGCGAAGCTAAGAAACGCACAGGGAGGTGGCCCACTTCAGTGGGCGTTGGGAGGTGGCCCTCTTCGGAGGGTGGTGTGCCATGCGGGTTGCTCCTGGTACTACTCTGATAGCAGAGTGGACCTTGGAGCAACCCCATGGTTGTTGTGGTCTGCTTCGGCAGACCTGCCGTCGGGGCGTCGTAGTTGAATGCGTAAACGATCCTGCGACGCCCCATTAAGACGGGGGAAGGTTTGGTTGGGTTTTAGTGGGTAGTACTGGCTGTATTACGCCGGTGAGTCCCACACGTCGTGCGTAAATGCATTTCCCAACATTAAAAAAAATTCCAATACTGAAAGTATTGAAATTTGTAATATTGTATTGTGCCTTTTTAGTTGTGAATATTTTATCTACATATATAACCCAATTTTAAGAGGCAAAGCTTTACATAGATATCTTTTAAAAAGCTAGAGTGAGCACATGAGCAACTGTTACTTACCAAAATTTTAATAAATTGATGGAGACAGAGAGAAGACAATTAATTCAAAGACAAAGTTTGAACTTTTTATTCTGAATTCATAATATATAAAGCAAGGTTCATCTTCAGTAATAGAAAACTAAATAGAAATAAATGTGAGTGATACCACAAAATTCTACCTTCTCTATAACATTTTAGTGTATAGTATGTTCTTATTTTCAGGTGGATATAATGCTTTACAAAGAATGTATCGTGATATCCAAGAACCAATGCTCAATGTGGCCAGCAGCATGGCGGGGAATCCATTTTCTGGGCTAGTTGACAATTCAGGTAAATTAACACTGAACTAATTTCTTCAATTATAACATCACTTTACTGCTCAATTTGACCTTGTATAAAATATATAAAACATAGTATATTATATAATTGGGTAACATATATGGCAGTGAAATTTGCTCAGGATAAATTTTATGTAAGACTACCGATTCACCCTTGCTTTGTTCGGGTTCATTCCTAGGTACGTTTCAATTTTTTTTAGCGGAACTCTAATTCTTTTTCTAAAATAAAAGTAGCCTATGTTACTCCCTATAACATCAGCTATCTTTCAGTGAAAGTCCCGTCAAAATTAGTCCAGCCGTTTCAAAAATTATCCGGAACAGACAGACAGACAGACAAAAATTTTAAAAATCGTGTTTTTCTTGTAAATACCATATATAATTTCATATGCATTAAGTAAAACTCTGTTATTTTAACATTACAAACAGACACTTCAATTTTATTTATCTGTATGGATAAATCTTATGTTCATGTATATCTAGTTACTATTGTACTGTAATAAAAGCAAAAAAATAATTCAATTTTATTATATTATAAACTATGCTACTAGCTTTTAGAACTTATTAAAAAAGAAAATCATTAAAATTGGCTAAATTCTCATCCTTTTCCTAGACGGCACCAACCCACAGCAGGGCTCTGAGAATAGACAACCATTACCTAACCCTTGGCAAAGAGGTGGCTCCAACACTTCAGGGGGAGGGACAGGCACAGGCACAGGTGCTGGTGCAGGTGCAGGTCCTGGCCTCATCAACACTCCCGGCATGCAGTCTCTCCTACAACAAATGTCAGAGAACCCACGCCTGGTCCAGTCAATGCTCTCAGCCCCCTACACTAACAGTATGCTTCAAGCTTTGGCAGCGGACCCTGAAATGGCATCCCAATTGATTAATCAGGTACTTAACAACCCTAATTTGTCCTTAGCATAGCATATGCATTATATTACAGCAAAAAAAAATTATTTATGTAAATTGCATATTATTATTGATTTTTTTATTAATTTTGGGAAAAAATGTGACTTTTTTTAAATTTTCTTATGTGTTTTTTATTTTACTGTTTCAAAAAGTTACATTAATTTTAACTTGTCTCATAATATAATATACATATGTCCAGAATTAGTTTATAATATAATAATATTATTTTTATATTTTTTTAGAATCCTATGTTCGCCAACAACCCACAACTGCAAGATCAGATCCGCACTATGATGCCTCAGATGCTTGCTCAATTACAGAATCCTGAAATGCAGCAAATGATGTCCAATCCACAAGTAAGATTGCACTTGCCCAAAGAAAGCTAAGTAGATTGTATTTTGCAAAGAAATTAAAAAGTGTTTTGTAAACCTTTTAACAGGCTTTATAATGTTGATTTTGAAAATCTTCATAATGCATAAAATAGAATAGCAATTTTTTCACTCTATGGAGACAATTTTTTACTGAATGGATATGGAAGATAAATTATAGGTGTAATATTTGACAACTTATAGCAAAGTTTAAAAATAATAATTCCATTAAGTTTTACAATACATAAGTATGTACAATACATAAGATGTTTTCTAAAAAAAAAGGAAACAAGTACTAATTCATACATATATTGATGTACACAAAATAGTTTTATTATTAATACAATGACAATTTGGTCTTTACTTACTTTACAATCAGCTAATAGTACATTCGAATATAAAACAAGAACTACTAAAAAATAAACACAGCAATCAGCATGTAGAGACATAAATATTATAAAAAAACAAACAAAATGTAGAAGTATTATTATACTACTAATCAACCATTTATAAATGTTGCAGGGAATAAAAATGTTGGTTTTATGATTTTTGCAAATTCTTTTTTATTAATTACTTGTATTATTAGTATGCAACTATATTAATTCTCCAGTCATTAATTACATAAATCTACAGGTGAAGCAAAAGATTTTGCAGAATTTTGTCTATGAATCAAGTCCAATATGTTGACAGCATTATAAATGACTCACCCTTGCTCTGCTCGGGTTCGTCCCTAGCTTGCTTTCCAATACAAACTTTCATCCCCATTTTCACCTCATTTAGGCATGATTTCCGGGATAAAAAGTATCCTATGTCCTTCCCAGGGTCTCAAACTATTTTCTTACCAAATTTCATCTAAATCGGTTCAGTAGATCCAGAGATTACCCCCTACAACGTCACAAACTCACAAGCTTTACCTCTATAATATTAGTATAGATCACTTTATCTAACAACCACATATGATCGCGTATTCCAGGCTCTAAACGCGCTCCTCCAAATCCAGCAAGGCATGGAGCAGCTGCGCGCGGCTGCGCCCAGCCTCGTCAACAACCTGGGCTTCGGGGCGGCGGGGGCGCCCGCGACCCCCGCTCCCGCAGCGCCCGCGCCCGCGCCGCCCGCCGCACCCGCCGCCGCCCCGCAGCAAGCCCGCCAGCAGCAGAACTCGGAACTTTTTACACAAGTTAGTACTGTTATAGCATTTTTAATGCCAAGTGTATTTTAAATAACACGCTTTTGTGTAACATTAGTACTTGTAACTAACAATGTAATCAAATGTTGGAAGTTAATTTTAACATACTGTCTAATTGTTGTTTAGAAATGAAACTAATAATTTATATGATCTGATGACAGACACATGAGTGGAGCTCTTGAGTGGCGAGTTTGAGCTCATTATGGTTAGTTTTAACTAGTCCAAGAGATTGGGTTTGGTAAAAATGTTTTTTTTTTAATTTTTTTAAACTACATAATCTATACTTCTTAAAGAGACAGTTTGTTTATAATATTTTAGTTGTAATATTGTTTATATAATTTGTAATATATTTTTATGTTATTTATGTTTCTTTAAAATAAATGGAATATGTATACTTAATAAATATAGTCGTCGGCTGTCATCGGACGTGACCGCGCGTGCATTGTAATTATCATAATATGAATATCGCGTCGAAAACGTTAAAATGTTCGAACTGCAATATTGTAATTTGCGAAGTGTTGGCGTTTGTCCAAAATAAGTTGGATGTTATGGATGAACAAAGTATTATCCAAATATGTGAAAGTGCTTTTAGTGAGAATGAAATTGACATAGCGAAGTCGTTACTATTTGAATCCGTGAGTAAACGTCCCTCAATAAGAAAACGCAAAGGGAAGACACTTCGTAATATTGAAGACATTATATGCCTTTTAAAGGAAACAGACCCTGAACAAATACCGATTTTCGTAGCGAAGAGATTAGAGAAATTGCCACCAGTTACATTCGATCATGTTGACGTGACGCCATTACTTAAAAAGATATTAATATTGGAAAAGTCTATGCAATGTATACAAAATGAATACGTTTCTAGAAGTGAGTTAATAAATACATTAAGTGAATATTCTAAAACGACGAATCAACGAAATAATGTAAATATTAAACGAGGAGGTGGAACAAATTTCTGTGATAGTGGACCGATGGAAATTTCAGCATATTGCGAGTTTAATCATTATCCGTCTCTTTCCCGCAACCGATCGCCCGCGAAGCAATTGAGCGACACGACGAGGATGCAGCCGTTGCAGGCTACATCAGCTGCGCCGCCGACGGTGGCGCCTCCCGCGACGTCGCACGATCAACGAGCTATTGAGAGTGCGAGGGAGATAAAAATCGATCGCGCTGTGCGTTGCAGTGAAAATATAGAAGAGCAACCGGTTATAGTGGCGACAAAAGAAACAGCTGAGCGCCTGCATAATCAGCCGTATGATAAAAATACGGTAACAAAAGATTATAATGAAGATAGTAAGGCGACTTACTCTGAGGTAGCTCGTAAGGGTGGTAAATGGATAGAGCCTAAAATGAGCGAAGAGTGGGTATTATATCAAAAACGGAGACTTAGAAACCGTCTCATAAGCCAAAAGGGATGTGCCAATGCGTCAGAAGAAAATAACCAAAAATTCAAAGCAGCAGATATAAAGTTGCCGCTATTTATATCTAATGTGGACAGAGAGGTCTCAGAGCAAGATATTATTAATTATGTATATGGAAAAACAAAGGAAAAAGTTTCATTAGAGAGAATTAACATGAAAAGGCAGAAGGATTATAATGCCTATAAAGTTTATGTAACAAAGCATAAAATGGATACTTTCTTAGACGATAAACTGTGGCCCATTGGCATAACCTTTAGGCGTTTCGTGAATTTTCACGAAAAACGGAAAAATATGGAAGTTGTAAAAACAGTAGAAAATAAGAGATAATAATAAAATAAAATATCATAATATATAATAATTAATTAAATTGAATATGAATAATATAAATAAAATTATTAGTTTTAACTGTAAATCACTCAAGAGGTCATTAGAGGGTGTAAAAGAACTGTGTACATCTGCGGATATCGTAGCCCTGCAGGAAACATGGTTGATGCCTCATGACCTACCAGTACTGAGTACGATAAGCGACAGCTTTGGATGGACTGGTACCTCTGCTGTGGATACTTCGGTGGGCCTAATCAGTGGAAGGCCGTATGGTGGTGTAGCGTTATTGTGGCGCAAAAGTGTGTTTGAAACAGTGTCAGTGGTAGAATGTGACAACGTGCGTATTTGTGCCATCAAAATAACTGTAAGTAATAGATCGGTAATTATTTTTAGTGTATATATGCCTACTAACTCTTATGACAATCTACTAGAATTTAGTAATTGTCTAAGTACAATCAGGTCGGTCATAGAAATACAAGAAAGTAATGGAATTGAAGCTTTCTATATATTAGGGGACTTTAATGCTCATCCCAATGAGCTATTTTACAATGAAATGTTAGATTTTTGTGTTGATCAAAATTGGATATGTGTGGATTTAAACATGTGTAGTAGAAATACATTTACTTTTTGTAGTGAAGTTCATGGGTGTAAACGATGGTTAGATCACTGCATCGTCACTAAATCAGCTTTACAAACGGTTATTAGCGTATCAGTACAATATGACATGTATTGGTCTGATCATTATCCAATTGTATTAGAATGTAGTATAAATAGTTTAAAACTGAAAATTGCACAGCCGAAAATGAGCTCTTTAAATTGTGTTATATGGGGTGAGAGGAATTTTAAACAGATAAACCAATATCATGACCTGTGTAACTCTAATTTGTCAATGATAAATCTACAAGAACTTAGTGAATGTTGCGATAATTTGTGTAAAAAAACAGAACATTACGCTATCTTAGATAAAACGTATAGCAATATTATTAAGACACTATCAGCGGCCGCTAGGCGCACGTACAGTGGTAAATGTAAAAAAAAGGGAGGCTATGTTACGGGATGGAATAGGCACGTCGCGGGACCGCATTGTGAGGCGCGGCTTAAATTTCAAATGTGGATGTTAGCGGGGCAACCGACTAGTGGTCACGTTTTCAATGAAATGGTAGAGTCTAGGAGACATTTTAAGGCAAAATTAAAATGGTGTCAAAACCGACAGGAACAACTTCAAATGGACATTCTCGCGTCAGATCACTTATCCAAAGACTTTAAGAGTTTCTGGAAGAACACTAATAAAATGAAAACTAGGCCGAGTTTACCCGTGAGTGTAGATGGTCTTTCCGACCATAAAGAAATTGCTGATGCATTTAGGTCGCGCTTCACTATGCGATCACCTCTGGGTTCCACGTTGAATAAGGTGAACGATGCTGAGACTATCACGGCGAGCGGGAGTGAAAAGATTACGGAAAAAATGGTGGCACAAATAATTAAAGAAATGGTTCGTGGAAAATCACCTGGTCACGATAATCTCAGCATTGAACACTTTAAGTATGCGGGAGTTCATCTGCCTCGAGTTCTCGCACTGTTTTTCAATCTGTGTCTAAATCATTCATATTTACCGGAGCCGCTTATGCGGACTATTGTAATACCAATTGTTAAGAACAAGACGGGTGACACGTCCGATATGAGCAATTATCGCCCCATCTCGCTTGCTACCACCGCAGCCAAAATACTTGACAGTGTGATAAATGGCAGGCTATATAAGCACGTTTCTTTGCAAGATGCCCAATTCGGCTTTAGATCAGGTCTGTCGACAGAAAGCGCTATTCTTAGTCTGAAGCATACTGTCAAGTACTATACTGCAAGGCGTACGCCGGTATATGCGTGTTTCCTGGATTTATCTAAGGCATTTGATCTTGTTTCATATGATGTACTTTGGAGCAAGTTAAAGGACGCAGGTATACCGGCGGAGTATACGTCCCTTTTGAAATACTGGTATGCTAACCAGAGAAATCAAGTAAGATGGGTCGGTGCACTGTCGGATGAATACAGATTGGAGTGCGGAGTGAGACAGGGAGGTTTGAGTTCACCCTTGCTATTCAACCTGTACATTGACCAACTCGTGGAGGAATTGAGTAACACACATGTTGGCTGTCACATTGACGACACCTGTGTCAATAATCTAAGCTACGCAGACGACATGGTCTTGCTCAGTCCCTCCATAGCCGGCTTAAGAAAACTGATAGCTACCTGTGAGACTTACGCGAAGGTGCATGGCTTAGCATACAACTCAAAAAAGAGTGAAATACTTGTGTTTAAGTGTCAAAAATTAAAACCACGCCATGTCCCGCTCGTGAGTCTAAATGGTGTATCGCTGAGCGTTGTCGAGAAATTTAAGTATCTTGGTCACATCATTACTAGCGATCTACGGGATGATGATGACATTGAGAGGGAACGCAGGGCGTTGGCGGTTAGGAGCAATATGGTCGTCCGCAGATTTGCTCGGTGTACGAAGGACGTCAAAATAACACTATTTAAAGCGTTCTGTCAGTCCTTTTATACCTGTAGTTTGTGGGTGGCATATTCGCGCCGGGCCTACAACGCCTTGCGTGTGCAATATAATAATGCCTTTAGAATGCTGTTGGGGCTGTCGTGGCGTTGTAGTGCTTCAAAGATGTTCGCAGAGGCACACACAGATGGGTTTCATGCCATTATGCGCAAGAAAGCTATTTCTTTGATGCAGCGTCTACGCGATAGCAACAACAGTATTTTAAAGTGTATTTCGGCCAGAATGGACTGCCCCTTTCAGAAACACTGGATGGAGTTGGCCATTGGGCTAAGATAAATAAAGAATAAATAAGTAATATTTTATGCAAAAAATACTAACAATACTAACATAGTATTAAGTATAATTGTTACTAACCAATTAACAATATATGGATGTACTTACGTCTGAAATAAAGATTATTATTATTATTATTATAATGGTCACCACTAGAGTAACCTGTATGGGAGTCCAACACTAATTTCCTCCTGATCAATAAAAAATAACTAGCTAGCACGAGATATTTTAGTGCACAAGTATGTGCGATAATAAACACAATTATAAACACAAAAATAATAAACACAATTTGTACTCTCTAGTCTCGTGTAAGATTATCTTCACTAATGGATGGATGTATATTATTTCCCTATGAGAATGTGAGATTCAAAAGAATATAGTCTACAATTGACAACATTTCAGAAATATGAAGACCCTAAAATAAAAATACCGTTTCTTTATTTTCCTATTTTGAGTACAAATATATTTTTTTGGGATTTTTTTAATGCTTGGTTTTGGAGAAAAAAAATAAAATCTGAAAATATTGTGGTAACGTCACAAATAAGGTTGAATGAGATGATTGCCTTTGCCTACTAAAGATTAAGATGAAATTATTCATCCAACGTCAGTGTCATATGTCATATGTGTCATTTCTGAATAATTGACGTTTGTATTTTGAATTGTTTCTCAAAATATGACAATCACAATAAAAAACAAAACGTTTAAGCTTTGAAACTTTTGTACACAGACAACTGACAAGGAAAGATTTTGTAATGCCAAAATGACATTAGTATATTTTTTTTGACGGATGAGAGAAAGGCAAAGGCAATATCGCTATTCAATCTAATTAATGACGTCATTTGTCGCTTACGTCTTTTTAGAATAAGACGAGTTTCAAAGTGGAAATTTTATATGAAAACGGCATCATTTCGAAAAAAGAAAAGATATGGGTCGCCTCATTTTTGATCTAGTTTTAATTAAAATTATAACATAGGGATGTTGAAAAAATGAAATGTTGTCAATTGTATTTACACACACTCGCTGCACTATACTCTCTTAAGATTGATCTTCTGCAGGAAAGTTGAATCCAGAAGTCTACATTGTAATATTATGGATGTAGTTAATCTTTTCGTAATCTTAAAATTGTCCAGTAAAATGTGGAGAAGATATTTTTAGTTTTATAGTAAGAATCCAATTTATTACATAAGCCTAAAAATCACCGTTTGGTATTATAAAACAAAATGTATAATTTTAAAATACTAATTCAGTACCGTTTTTGCATTTCAGTTTATGCAACGAATGGTATCCGCTATGTCGAACAATCAAACCAACACACAGCAGCCACCAGAGCAGCGCTATTCACAGCAACTGGAACAACTTACTGCAATGGGCTTTCTGAACCGAGAGGCTAATTTGCAAGGTATTTCATTATAATTTTTTAAATTATAAATATTTATTAACTATCCTGCCAACAACAAAGTCATCTCTGGGTTATTATTATTTAAAGAATGGATCAACCATAGTGAAATGAAATAGTAATTATAAATAATAATATAAATATACTTAATGTAGATTTTTAAAATCTTCATTTTAATAGAATTAGCAACTGCATTTTCCTCAATAGCTCAAACTCCATACTATAGTGCGGGAGCCCAAGAGGGAATTTTTGGAGTTATTCAAGCGCGGCAGATTACCATAAAGATATAAATACGTACATTTAACTTTATAGTCGATTTTTGTCTCTTTGACTTGTGCAAATTGGCAGATTACTGATATGCACACTTTTCAAGATGTAATTAGCCCACCACACCTTAATCTGACGGTTTCAAGTATTTCTACCTTATCAAAATATTTTTTAAATATTTTGATCGGCTGTCCTAGACGCGCGCCCTTATATAGAGGACTTATGTTATGGTGGAGGTACTCAACAGAGTGCAAGGTATCCCCCCTTATGTTAATCTGACGCGCTTGAGTAACTCTGAAAATCCCCTCTTGGGCTCCCCTGCTACTACTTTGTCACAGGAGTAAATAAAAAAATAATTTTCATATTTACAATTTCAGCGTTGATCGCAACATTCGGTGACGTGAACGCGGCGGTGGAGAGGCTACTGGCGCTCGGTCAGCTGTCTATGAGCTAACATCAGCGCGGGCGCAAATGTTATAACTCGTACTTGCTTGTACCACAATCTTGAATTTTGTATTGTAAATCATTATGATTTTCCTCATGTAGTCAAACTGTATCTATTTGTTTTTTATATTATTATTTTTGGTTTGTAAAACATTCACACTTCACTCTCCTTTGAAGGATGGAGTGAAGTATCATAAAACGTTTGTGCTGTGGTTTTGGTGCAAGCGAGTGTGTTTTATTATGAACGGCATAATATTCATCAATTAGACTTGTCGTTTAAATTTTACTATCGAATTGTCTATAATTTTAGCAGGTGATTTCTTAGAGGAAATATTTAAATTCATTCCTTCTTACTTTAGGTATAAAAGTTTGTTTCTGATTAGAAACAAAACAATCATAAAATTTTGGACTAAGGTTATTTTGTAAACATTTATTTTACTTTATTTAAAATGATATATTTTTTATTACTTCCATTATTCTCCTGTTCCACAATGCTATAAAAATACCTATTTTAGTTATGGTAAAGTTAGATAAATGATGTAGGTTATATAAATAGTTTGCTTTAAAATGAGTGTTTAAGATAACCCTGGCAATATAAAATTACAAAGTGCTATGAAGAACACGTTTTTTAACTTATAACTGACTCTTGCTATTAGTGTATTGAGGTATGGCGTTAAAACCAGAAAATATAGATAATCATTGATGATATCTAATTATTGTTTTTAGTTTTTTTAACATGTTGCGTAATTTATTTATGAAGCTGTTTTCTACAATATAAAACTAAATTACCCTAAGTTTAAATTGCTTTTTGTGTGTCTCTTTACTGGCAACTTTTATCTATAACTTTGTTATTTGGGCTAGGAACATTAACTTCTAATGAGTGGGTTTAAACTGAGTCTGGTATGGTATTTGATGATTGTACAGTTTTTTTTGTATAATTTAAGGTGGAAGCAATTAAGAAGTAATCTTTATGCTTTATTCTACTAAGTATGTAGAAAATTCTAAGTTGTAAAACAAAATCCGGCATTTGTTGCTCATTTTTGTTATATTTTTGTTAAATTTCCAAGGAATATAATTATAGTATAATATTAATACAAAAATATTAATTATGTATCAATAAAGTTTGAAAACGCTTAAAGGATTGTTTTATTTGATATCTAAAAAAACCTAGAATTCTCTGTAATATTTTTTTTTACAGCTAATGGTTTTGATGAAGTTCAGTCTATTTGTACTAATTTAAACCCATTCCCAAACTATTTTGGGAAAACCTGAAAACCATTTCCAAAATGAACTGAAACCTCAGACCCCCATAGCCAAATTGCTTGAAAAATCCTATCTCTAGTTTTTTTTTTGTTGATATAAAATACCAATTTAAAAACTTTGCGGTCATGGTTAAGTGAGTAAACTTGACATCATTTATTCATTAAAATTTAACAAAATAAATAGACATAAAATTCAGTAAATAACAAGTGTCATTAACAATTAGTTACGCACCGCTAGTTTATTAGTCAAAGAAATCGAGCGCCTTCGTACAACCTCTGTGGTGTTTGTCTACAAAGTTGCAAGGGAATCTCCTTAATCTGTAGGTGCCAGGCAGGCAGGAAAAGGGCGAATGGTTCCTGTTGCTATAGTTACAGATTAAGGAGACTACTGCCCGATTTCACCAACAACCCATAAGCTACCACCTACGTATGGGATCCCTAGCTTAAAATTCCCCTCAACTAGCCCCTAAATTAAATTTCGCTTTACCATCGTCTTTAAGCCTATATTTCTAGCACCTAAATTTAGGGGGTCTTTTAATATTTAGGTGACCCCTAACTGTCGGTGAACCAGAAACTCCCTTAAACTTAGGTGACATTGGTGAAATGACGAATATATTTGACGTTTGGGCGGGACGAATGATTATCTTTTGTGTGTATTTTTATTAAGAGAATTGTGAAGTGCCGATACGCGGCGAGAGTAGGTATTTTAAAAAATGCTATCTGTTTCATACCACTTTGCATCCCCCCGGCAGTGAACAACACAAATACAACATACGCAAATTCTCACGCACACTATGATAGCAGCAGCCGGTGACGCGCGGGCGCTCGCGGGGGGCGGGGGCGGGGGCGGTGCGACTCGGCGCAAGAGCAATTTCAAAGTTTATCTGATATCTACGGTTTGCGTACAATATACATTCCCTACAAGTTACATCGCACCTTTATTCATAAACTGAAATAACTCTAAATTACAATTTTGTGGCGAATATCATTTAAAATTTGACTTGTTTAGATTGATGACTTCAAAAAATCATAGAAAAATAAATAGGTGGTTTAGATCAATTACAAAAAGCTCGTTCCAAAAGTTGAAAGTTTTAGAATTTTTTGTTGTTTATGTACTAATAGACCCATCGGAATCCTTTTATTTTTAAAATAATTTATTTATTGCAAACCTGAAGTTTTATGATTTTAAAATGTTAGGAGGTATATAAGGAATAGAAATTCATAAAATGACCTGATCATGAATGATGATGATTTACGATTTTTTAACAAATCTATGACTAAATTTTATAAAATATATCAACTTAATTTTTTTAAATATATTTTTAACTAATGAATAAACAAGATTAGATTACGAATGAATTTCATTTCTTTTTGTAATTGTCCTAAAATCATTTTTTTCAGAAAAATCAATAAAATTAACTGCAAAAACTAATAAAATATCGATAAATTCGAAAAAATTATAACGAATAGTATGTGTATATTTATAAATATACATATGCTATTCGTAATATTTTTTTAAAATTATAACGAATATTATAAATTATAACGAATATAAAATTAAAAATATAATTTTTACAAAAATAAAAGTATTTTTATTGCTCCTTCTAAACGGTAGTGGTCCAGCAATTACCAAAAGAAAGCGCGTGACCGGTGGAGGGCGAGGGGTGGAGGGGTGTAGGAAGACCCTTACTCATTTAAACTTATACAAACAAATATCTCGAAAACTTTGAGGTTATCGTAGAAAGCGTTATTTATAAAAGTTGTAGATTTTTACTAGACCTTTAACATTTGTACAAAATATTTTTCGATAGAACGTCACAGTGAGCCGGAAATTGAAAAAAACTATTTTTCAACGCTTTGCGTCCTCCCATTTCTCGAGTGTAGCTGGACAGATGGGGCATATTACGAATTTCTAATCCTTATATACCTGCTAACATTTGAAAATTATAAAACTTCAGGTTTTCAATATATTGTTGTCAGATTCCGATTGGACTATAATACTAGCTTACATACCAAATTTTAGCTTTCTAGGACTTCAGGAAGTACCCTATGAGTTTTGATGATCATCAGTGAGTCAGTGATGAAATCGGAGTTTTTTAGATATCAATAAAATCTAATGTAAAAGAGCTATGCAATTGAAACTTTTTATGTTTAGCCAGCATTGCCCGCGGCTCCGCCCGCGTTCATATAACCAAAAACCAAATTCGTAGGTTTTACATATTAGTATATTCGTACATTGCAGTTTTGTATTTTTTCTCAGAAATGAGATATTTTCCCGCGGTAATCCTATATGTTGATCCGGATACCACCACCATCTACCACCACACCAAATTTCATCAAAATCTCTCCAGTGGTTTTTCTGTGACGTGGTAACAGACAGACAGACAGACAGACAAAAATTCAAAAAACTATAGATACGGCCTCTGTATCGATAATAATGTTTATTTCAATAATATTTTCCAAAAAATATTTAATGTACAGATACGGCTTAGTTACAATCTATACATACGAGAATAATAAAATTCTAAACTTTGGAATGAATCCTTTCAGTATCGATCGATATATCGATATTACGTTCTCCTCCCTAGGAGATAATAATATCGATAGCACCTTCAACATCACTACAGTCTACAATATGCCCCTGCCCCCGACCCGAATGGTGCGATAGAGAGAGTTGCAAGTCTTAGACTCAATTACCTACATTTCCTTTTTGAAATATTGTTTCGGGCGATAACGTTTTCACCCCCCTAAACATTAACGAAATGAGACGATTTTGGTCTCATTAGATTCAGTACACCTTAATCTAGGTCTGTACGTTTTCCTTTTTTTGTAATTCAGTTTAGTTTATTTTAAAAAAATAAAAACGCTGGAGGAAGTTTTTAGGTCAAAAATATAGATATTTAGATGCTAATAACTTCTATCGTACGCAATATTTCCAAAAAATAAAAACGTACGGACCTAGATTTTGATCATATCTACAACATTTATCCAAAAATTATGAAAATTAGACTATGTTTAAGGGGGGAAAAACGTTATCGCTTTTTGTATGAAAATTTACAGCTTCACAATCCTCTTAATTACTGACAATATAACGATTAAAATAAGAAAAGTGTTTTATTGTTTAACAAATTATTAATACAAATTAGGTAAATATACCTAAGTAGGTAAATATTAAAAAAAACCATTAAAATCGGAAAGTAAAAATAAAAAATCAGTGTGATGGATGAACCTGGTGACTTTCTATCAATCTAACGAAATCCGGTTAAATAATGGTGAATTGCCGCCTTAAGCGGACCTGATACGATCAATCGCTACGGTATTCTCAGTTGCAATTGAAGTACTTAGTACGTTAATATGATCAAAACTGCGTCGTCAAAGTAGTCATCAAAACTATTTTGTCAAAGTAAACTTTGATCTTGTCAACACGGCTTTACTATGATAAACACGGCTTAAAGTCCACTTTGATTGAACGCCGACGTCAAACTCCGTAGGGTTTACATTCTCTTTGGTCAAAGTGCACTTTGATTTGATTGCTCGTTTTACATGATCAATCATCAAAGTTACGTCAAAGTAGGACCATCAAAACTACTTTGTCAAAGTACACTTTGATCGTGTCCACGCGCCTTTACTGGTACTCGATGGCTGTACTCAGCGCTGCCAACTGGCGGGTAAATTACCCGAAAAGCGGATAATTTTAGGCGATTTTTGATGGTGGGTAATTTTGACGGGTATTTGTATGGAGGGGATCAAGCGTCAAAGCAGGTATTTTAATTAAGTTGATTAATTTGATATTTTAAGTTCTTTTTTATGTTTAATTTAATTTAAAGCTGTTTAATTGAGAACTAATTACACTTCTTTTTCTAACATTAGTATTTTTTTTATTCTTAAAACATGAATAAATTACTTAAAAAACTATTTTCGGGTATTCTGCTCATGGTTGGCGCCGGGAACTAAATAAACTGGGTATTTTGAGGCTTATTGGTCGGGTAAATCAACGACTGTTATCTGGCAGCTCTGCTACTAGACAGTGGAAATTTTTTTAAGAAATGTAGTATGTACTGTCAAAAAATATAACATGTAAACAGTGTTTATCACTTGAAAACGAATACTTGTACAATGAATTTAATTTAATATTTGATAATATCTTTCAAATGATAGTCTTAGACAATTTCGACTTAAAATTAAAATATAAATTTTTTGAGGTTAGCTTATAATCAATAATGTTTATAACGTATTTTACGTGGAATTAGAGGAATACACGATGTTTATTTTTTTTTCAGTAAATAATGTATACTCCGCGGCAGAAAATTCTATGGTTTGCATTCAGTACCAGAATATTTATATTGTTTCTTCAAGCTCTGTCAAATGTTATTATACCTGATCATGATGCAAATGTTTTTATCAGTCCTGACGATCCAACTCTGCGCAAAACTAAAGGTGATTTACTTATTGATACTATATTAGGTGGATTGAAACGGTGGGATTCTCAGTATTATATACATATTGCACAATATGGATATACATATGAAAATTGTTTAGCCTTTTTCCCTCTGTTTCCTTTAATTGTAAGGTATGTTGCATACATATTAAATAGTATACTTGGTACGTTTTTAAATTTTCACAGCACTTTACTGATATCTGCTACTGTTGTAAATTTGTTGATTTTTATTAAGTCTGCTGATGTGTTACATAGGTTAAGCATAAGAATCCTGAGAAGTGAATGCAAAGCATACAAATCTGTAATATTGTACTGTGTGAACCCTGCCAGTATATTTTTTTCAGCTCCATACTCAGAATCACTATTTGCATTAATGTCATTTTATACTATGCTGAAATGTACAGAAAATGAAACTTTAAGGTTTGCTAATATAGATATCACAAGTGCATTGCCAGCTGGATTCTCTATGATAAGTCGCTCAAATGGTATTATTAATCTAGGTTTTATTCTTTATACTAGCTTTAAAAATGTGATAGAGCGTACTTTACCAGAAATTAGGTACAAATACAAAACTCTAAAACATAGACTCATTTTGCCATTTTTACTTCTGCCATTATTTACTTCTTGTGTTGCTCTATTTTTAACTTTCATAGTTGCAATCATACCTTTTGTACTAGTTCAAACTTACAACTACTTTAAATTTTGCACTCATAGTGATCATAATTTACCCGAATTCTTATCTAACACTGAATTCTTACTACCTGGTTCTGCTGAAAGTCCTTGGTGTAACAGTTCATTACCTCTGTCATATTCTTATGTTCAAAAACATTATTGGGAAGTAGGGTTTTTAAACTATTATAAGATAAAACAGATCCCCAATTTTATGCTTGGTTCTCCGATAATTCTAATTTTATTATATCATTGTTTGGTTTATATAAAAAATAACTTTAGATTGTGTTTAAGACTTGGACTTAAGGACAATATATTTAATTTTGGATATGCAAACAAGGTAGTATATAGGCATAAGCAATATAATAAAGGGTTTGGGGCCAATGATCCTATTTATTTTGTTTATATGGTGCATATAATGTTCTTAACATTGTTTTGCATTTTATTTGTTCATATTCAAGTTTCAACAAGGCTCTTAGCTTCTGCTAGTCCAGTACTATATTGGATTTGTTCAAGTAAAATGAATGTTGGTCCGACTCCAACATCAGACCAAAACACAATAAATGAACATTTCCGTCGTATTGGTATTGGAAAGAGAATACCATCTCATCATTTATCTATAGCAAATTTAGAAGGTATTGACAATATGTACAGTAAGTGGAGAACTTTTATAATTTCTAGGAGAATGCCTGATCTTCATTCACAATTAATACAATGTTATTTTCTAGGATATTTGGTTATTGGAACAATTTTGTTTTCAAACTACTACCCATGGACCTAAATATACCAAATTAATTAAATTATATGATCTCATGACATATCATAATGTATCATCATAATTTTTATACTTATAAGACTAACATATCATAGTTCATTGTAACATTAATGTACAAATGACATCAGATTATATAATTTGATGCCTCCTTTTATTGGATACTTTGAAATAACAGATTTTAATATATAGGTACTTTTCACGAAGTACTAGACCACCTGATACATAGTATAGTCTGATGTTGTTAGCAATTATTATTAATAAGTATTCAAGATTAATGAAATTATTAAAATATGTAGTGATACTGATAACACAAAAGTTTTTGCTTGAAATTTAATAATGCATGGGGCCTTTTTAAAATGAATCCATTATAGTCAAGGTATAGGTAATTGCTTAAACATTTTTAGATAGATTTAATAAAAGAAAATTGGCTTTATTAATAATAAATAGATAATTTAGATTGGTAATTTGTAATCTAGTCAGATTTTGTTATTTATTTCATGTAATTTTAATCAAATTTTTAAGGTCAAATGCATCTTCACAAGAATTTTAATCAATCATATTATAAAGTTAGTTATAGTTTTATATGGCAAATATTTTTGTCACTCCAAATATAATATATCTGATAATTATACATAAAACATTTAACTGCCCGTCCATCTAGCAGATATAAAATTTTAAATATTTGACTTGTTGCTACTTATTATCCATATTGCTCTTTAAAATATTCATCTTAATCTAAATGTTATGCGGGCTTAAAGGAACAATGACGATTATCATATAGTAATATGGTTGTGATTGAATTTTAACAACTAATGCACATTTAAAAATCTTTGCCTTGTAAGTTTTCTTGCTTCTTTTAATGAATTTCAAAATAATAAAAATGAAAGTTGAAATTGTTATGTTTTATTATTACACCAAACATACTTAATGTCTATATGAAACATATTTAGTCTGGACATTTAGATTACACGTCATGTTTTACTTCTTAACCATTTCTTGCAGGATATATCTTGGCAGACCAGAATACTCGATTCTGCTAAAAATTGTGTACCATAATACTTTTTGTTTTATCTTAAGTTTTTGTTTCAGTTTTATCTTTTCAAAACTTATTGGAGATCAGGTTTTTTGAAAAAATACTTTAAATTTTATGTAATAAAAAATACAGTGTCTCAAAATCCTTTATAAAAGTTTACATATGAAATATTTTTATTAATTGACATCTTACATTTAATATTATTATATATATTATCTTAAGTTCCTATTTTGAAGTATGTAAATGCATTCATTGATCAAACTGAATAGTGACCAGATAGTCTGATTTAGTAGCACGCTTCATTTATACATCCATAATTTATTAGTATCAATTCTGTTAACAGAATATTTAAAGTAAATTATTATTTTTTACATAAAATATCATCATCCATGAATCATCTAGTTAGTGCTATCAGCCAAACATTCTGAAATGGATGGTTTTGGTGAGTCCGCAGTAGAATCTGGTAGCATTTGTTCGACGGGTTCTGCTTCCTGCGAGTCGGCGGCGGAGGAGGAGACCCCGTCGCCGGCGCATCCCTATGCAGCCGCTAGGGCTTCGTGAAGCCTTATACGGGCGCGCTTCACACGCTCCTCTTGGCGACGCAGGTCATCTTTAGTTATTGTCACAGCCGCTATCAAAGGTTGATCTGGGTTTAAAAAAACGCCAGGATTCTCTATTATTGTTTGTTTCGATCCAGTTTGACCTGTAATTTCAGATTAGATAGTATTTAATTTAAAAGTTTCTATATAATATTATATTTGTGATTTTGTATATATGGATAACCTCAGGAAATATACTCCAATTCCTGAAAATTATTTTACATAATCCCTGAAATTAACAGACATAATTGCTTTATATGTTTAAAAAAGAGATGCCCTGGCCCATTCCATTTTCAAATACCCCATCATAAAGAAATTGGACAGCCTTAATTTTAGCTGTTTTTGTTAGCTTTAATAGATGACAGACGCCTTTGATCTATAAACTATCGAATCATATTATTTTATAAACGGATGTGTATTAAATTATATTAGAGCAAAATTCGATTAATTAAAACAAATATCAGTGACTATCAGTTTTTAAAGGTGTTAAAGCAAGTCAAATGTATAAACAGCGCCATCTATGAGTATACACTAGAAACTTAATTTGATTTTGCAATTAATCAACTACGAAGCATAGAATTACTTCTATGCTCCATGTTAGGGGTAGCGAACACATCCCTAATTACTCGTGCAGATAATGAATAATAATATAAATGGCGTCGCCTGTAAGTACACTATACACATCTCGCTTGAAACCTACGACGATCTTCTCTCAAACCATGTGGTGGAGATAACAATTACCTGTTATAGGTTGTGATGAAACATGTAAAGCAGTAGCTAGTGACTGTATAGTTGTAGCGTCTGAAGTATATGGTCCCAAAGATTTAATATATTTTGGTAGTGAAGTTGTTCCAATTACTCCATTAGAATCACAAGCAGTTAATCCCTGCAATTATATAAATCAGATACAATATTTTTTAAATAATCTACATTAATATATATTTTAAAGAGGTACACTTTGTAGGATGGAGGATTGAATCTCCAAAATTATTCATTCATTTAACAGGATCAATTGAACAGTTGAAATCAAAATTCACTTCCAATTGAATTTAATTTTGCCGCATTAACTTGCCTAATTCCACCATTAATGTAACATCCATACTAATATTATATGTGTGAAAGTGTGTTTGCTTGTTTGTCCTTCTTTCACGTCGAAACGGATTGGCGTGATTAGGCATGTGGAGATGGTTGGAGGGCTGGAGAGTGACATAGGCTACTTTTTACTGCAGGAGATTATCTAATTCCCATAGGAAAACACGTTATAATACAATCCAAGAAAATATTTATAATCAGAATTACTTGAAACTTGGTATAAATGCTCTTCAATAAAATCAAATAAATACGTGTTTAAGCATTTTTTTTAAATTCATCATATATGGGGGTACAATAAGAGATAAAAGTTTGTATGAAACTACCTTTTTAGAGATTTTTTTATAGTTTTAGTGCGAGTGAAACCATGGGTTTTGCTAGTATTATATAAATTGTGATTATTATTAATAAAATTTTACAAATTTCATGAACGACTTATATTAGTAGCAGGCAAAACTTACTTCTAAACGTTTTTCCCAGAAAAGTTGCTTTGGTTTTTCTTGTGTGCCTTGTTTAAGATCAGTTTTAACTTTGCTTTCTTGGGTCTTGTATACTGTTACAGGCTGTTTAAATATGGAAGCTGTTTGTCGTATCGGAGGTACAAGTGAAGCATCTGAGCGAACACCCCTATGAAATGTGTCATAAAAATGTTTATATATGAAGAATTTATTTATATCAAAGACATCTAAACAAAATTTATGTTTGATGTAATTGAATTTTTATGGCAATATTGCTCCTTAAATATTTTTAAATTAGAAAATGCTGTAACAGATACTATATTGATTTTAATAATTTTATCACATATAAAAATAATATAAACACACAACAACCAAATTAAATTCCAAAGATATTTTGTACCTTTTCACCTTGAAAATAACACATAAAAAACGTGAATTTAAACATAAGTTGTTTACATGCAACATTAGTCATGCTATATGGTAACTATGCTGTTGTTATGAACATATTTTAACAAATAAAATCTTTATCCCAATAAAATAGTGATATTCATCTTACATTACCGTAAATTTAATAAGCAAGTATCTAATATACTGAGTATAATTACTAAAATATTGAATTTTATTCATATGCCCTGATTAACTGTTATTTAATAGTGCTAATAATAGTAGTGATAACAGTAGTTTATTTTGACTTCTATGAGACTTTGGTTTTAAAAGATATGTTTTGGTTGGTTATCTATGTTAATTTTCAATATTTTCTTAAATTATTAATGAAGTAAATTACTATTTCATAAGCTTGCATATAAGGAAGCATTATGTGGCAATATTGAAAAAGTATATATAACTAGCTACACAAGAGTGGACAATAACAAAGCTTTGCAAGGCTTGGTAAGGTAGGTATACAAAAACTACACGTCTTTCGTAGCTTCCATGTGAAGTCTTTACCTAAATTGTGGTGATACAAATAGAAGTACAAATTAAGTTAAGGATATGCAGACACAAGCTTTTGGAAAGAGCATGTAAAATGTAACACAAAGCGGGACTGCACTAATGAACACAACACAAGTGAGTTATGACACTAAGTGGGGAACCTGTAATCAAATTGAGCTCGAGCTTTCTTGGCCTTGCACAGGAGCATTGTGTTAATTTGACCTTGTTGGAAGTCAAAACATGATAAGTCCACACTATCACCGAGATAACGAACTAGCTCTGGTTTACTGCGAAACTTTTTACCTGTAGGGCTGCAGAAAATTAATTGTCACCAAAAACCTGTTATTTAAAATTAGTGTGTTAAAAATTAATATTAATAAGTGGTCTCAAAACTGATTCGCTGCAATGAATATTTAACTAGATTAATGGATTAATATAAGATTTTAATAAGTAATGTAGATTTTAAAAGATATTGAAGAACTCTTTTAAACTATAAATAATGTCATCCATATGAAAACATTGAGCAACAATTTTTTCATGGTATGCTTGCATGTTTTGTTACTCCTGTAAAAAAAACGTATGCATCTTCTTTATATTATCTTTTGGTACTGTTACAAAATAGTGACAATTTTATATACAAAGCAGAAATTATATTTGTCATACGATTTAAAACGTATATATAATGATACAATATAAGGCCAATGATTTACATTACATGATAACAAGCGATTTACAAGTTATCTCATATCCTAATTATATATTCTTGGTTTTTTCTATTATTCTTCAATTAAATGTTGTCATTAAATAGGTTAAAAATGAGCTTATTACCTATAGTAGTACACATCAACTTTGCCTGCTGAAAGTCCAGTTTTTCTTATAACTTCTTCCCTCTGCCATCCTTTAGGCAAGGCAGCGCAGTCTGATCTTTTCTTTTCTATAGAAATATTCATGATTTGTTAATTTTTTTATTCGAAAAAAAATTATATGTGAAAAATATAGTTCTAATATTTTAAAATAATATTAAATCTAAGCTACAGGCGACAAGAAATCATCAATTCAGGGTTCACTTGATTGATGATCATATAGTAATAGTAATTAGTAATTGCTACATATAAAAAAAATGATGATTGATTCTATCATAGAGTTGTAACTCTATTGAGTATTGAGTGAAGTAATAGTTGAATGTTGACCATAGATGCAGCGTTGCCAATACCAAATTATCAAATTCCCCGAAAATGTAACTAAATTCCCCAATTTGCGGAATTATTTTGCGGGAAAAAACGAAAAAAAAACGGTATTCTTAAATTTTTAATTTGACGCTTATTATTTATACAATGTCGCCGTAAACATTCCAACTTTGCAATTTGACGAGTCGTGAAAAAATAAAAGAAATTGGAAGTCACGTAAAATGTACCTTTTCTTTGCATTTTTTCCCGTAGAATCTATTTATGTTATTATTTTTTCGAATTTATTGGTATTTTATTAATTTTTGATCGATTTTAATTTTTGAAAATATATCATAGCATTTAATGGATGCACAGAAGATTGAAGGGTGGTTTCAAAAATTTGTATAAATTTTCTACAAGGATTTATCATAGTTTAAAAAATATATTTTTTTATCATTTTGGACATTCTGTTTTATGATTTATTAATAAAACTGTGACTACCTTTAGTAAATATCAACTTGGTTTGTCTTAAATTATATTTTTGGATAATGAATAAACAAAATTGGACTATAATTGAATTCCATTTTTTCTTTTATTGCCTTAAAATCAATTTTGTTCAGAAAAAATAGTAATAAATATAACTCCAAAATTATTATTACGAGTTTAAGTTAAGAGGACTTATTGGTAGGAGTGATTTCAGTTATTAATTATTACTAGTGAAGAAATTTACACTCAGAAAATTTGCGTAGTTTTAACACTTAGTATAGTTTAGATTACAAGCTAAATCGGTTCAGACGTGGAACCTATGTCCGATTTTTGTTAGTAAGTTAAGTTTTAAGTGTTTGGACCCGGTCGGACTATTGATATTCACAATCCCAGCATATTTTCTGCATAATGCTAATGCCCAACAAATCCCAAATCGACTTGAGATTCCCCGCAATTTTGGGAATTCCTCACAAATTGGCAACGCTGCATAGATGAATAGATGGATGACAACTTTTATTTGTCATCCATGATGACAACAAAGAGAATGTAACCAATTTGCCCCAATTCACAGATTATAGAATGCCTAAATTACTAAAGACGGAATAATAAATGGAAAGAATTTTGCCTTTTACTTTCGCCAGATTTCACGATCACTATGGCCCTCAGTATATTGTAAAGCTCTATAGCGTGGATAGAATTTTTTCATTTTAATTAAAATAACATTTGATGCAAATAAAATGGACATCATTTGATCCCAAAAAAAATTAAAACTGAAGAAATTGTGGGCTAAAACAATAAGAGGCGAAATTACAATCTTTATATTTAAGGCTATGTGAACATCATTTTACTAAAAGTGATTTTAAAAGTCTTAAAACGTCTGCAGGTGATTTTTTTCTTTTTTACATATTAATTATAGAGTTTCATACAAACTTTTATCCCCCATTTTACCCTCTTATGGGATTGAATTTGGAAAAAGCTAATACACGTATTTATTTATTAGTATTGAAGAGCATTAATACCAATTTTCAAGTAATTCTGATCATAAATAAACTTTTGCCCATATAAACTTTATTACCCCTTTTTTGATGAATTTTGAAAAAATAAAATTAACATATTTTTATATTAGTATACCTAAACAGTAAACACCACTTTCTGTGTATTTCATATAAAAAATGTCCGAGTTTCATATAATTTTTAACCCCCTATTTTACTCACTTAGTGGATGAATTTAAAAAAATCTTTCTTATCGGATTCCTACATCATATTATATATATGGAATATATCCACCAAATTTCACGTTTCTGCGAGCAACAGTTTAGGCTGTAAGTTGATCTATCACTCTGATGGAACTGATGGAACCTCTCCTTCTCAATTCTCCATGAGCTAGTCTAACTTCCAGGTACAATACATTACGAACAGGTAAGATGCAAAGACAATAGAAGCAAAAAACTAGGTATGAAAGAGATGTAACAATAAATGCTTACCTCAGGCTGAATGTAATTAGGACATACGTGTGGCGCCCTCCTCTCAAGAAATCTTCCCCATTATTGTGAATTCCACAGAATATAAAATGATGCTGGTTTATTATCCATTTAACATAAATGCCACTATCTATTCAGTTAATTTCAACTGTCAAATGTCAGTTTGAGCAGTCATCTATGGTTTGTGCAAATTGTGGATTTGTGGTTGTGGGTTGTAAGTTTATTACAGTGAATAATAATTTTAATAATAGAAACAAATCATGTATTTATATTTCTGACTTTAGTGTAGTGTATATAAGAGTAAGTGTTCATAAATTTTATTACTTTTGCTTCTACATAATTGTTTATATTAAACATAGTTGTCAAGTTTTGCCTCTACTTTCACTTTTAAATATAAACGAAATCAATGTACTCAAAAATGGTATACGTAATCATATCAATGTTATAAACTTCACCTGGAAGTTTATATTCATCTCGATGTGACGGTGTACGATGTATCTATTTTTAGGTCGCCAAAATATAGCCACCAACCTGTTGTAACCGGGTAATCGGTAAGACTTCGATTTAATAAACGCACAAATATAGAAAAAAATAAATTTATATTGTCACTTTTCCTATGTTCTCCTGTAATTGTGTTTCATTTCTTGTTCAAATCTCAGAATCAGCTGGCTCTTCACCATGGTTGGAGTTAGTAAACAGTTTTAATTTTAAATATATATATGTAAATGAAGTATAACATAATATTATTAATTTATATTAATTTTATTACCTATCCAAATTTCTCAATTCCTTTATATTTAATTTGTTCTACATATAATTTAAATGATGCTTAATGAACTCTACTAAATTGAAATATTAATTATGATATAATTAACAGTTTATGCTAATTTTTCATTTTATAATTATATAAATACTTTACAATATATCTAAAAATTGGTATTATTATATTTTGTACTTGGGCTTCTATTATAATGCTTTTTATTACATGCTCACACTTTTTGAAGTTTCACATTTTCAGTTCTTTAAAAGCACATACATATTGTCACTGTCAACATTTAAGTCTATAACATATTTTAGTACTAGCAGAACCAGCGGCTTCGCTCGTGCTAAAACTCATCCCCTATTTTACCCCCCGTTAAGGGATGAATTACGAAACATACTAAAACAATATTTATTTAATTGTATTGAAGAGCATTAATCCCAAGTTTCAAGTAATTTTGATTATAAATATTTTTTGGTTTGTATTATAATGTGTTTTCCTGTGGGAATGAGATAATCTCCCGCAGTAAAAAGTAGCCTATGTCACTCTCCAGCTCTTCAACTATCTGCATACAAAAAAACACGTCAATCTCACTCCGTTTCGACGTGAAAGAAGGACAAACAAACACACTTTCACATTTATAATATTAGTATGGATTGTATAGCTGTAATTATAATGCCAATATATATTATTTCTTTTAATTACATAATACATTATTTTATTGAAATATAAATAAACTTTAGTTAAAGCTATTTTCTAAATGACTACCTGATACTTATGATAAATTTCTGATATATAAATTTTGTATTGACCTTCAGTGGTTTACCTAATTACCCATTTACATTGATAACCTATAGACTAACTTATAGCCATATTATATTGATACATATATCATAATAGTCATTGTTCTAAAATATTAAATGAAGGCCATAAACTTTCTCAATTTGTTTGAAAAAACTTTCTAAGAAAGAAAAGACTCCTAAAATCTGTTCTTCTGTATTTGCTATTGTTTGAATCTTATAAGTTTTCTTTCTTCTTTCGTTTTCTTTTTCTTTCGTATAAGTTTAGTTCTTAGTTACTATGAATCTTCAAAATTATCACAAGAACAGAAAGTTTTTGATTAATGTCAATTTCTTTTTCGGTAGCATGTGTAATAATGGTAATATATTAAGTGTATTAATTTATTGAAAAATGTCTTAACTTTTTGTACCCTTCATATAACAAAAACATCATATAAGGAAAAAGCTCAGTTTACCATGTTGCAGTTTTAATTAATAATTTCCATTTTTAACTATATTTGTTACATTATATTAAACTGCATAACAAGTGTTCTTTGGATGGTCTGTAGCAGGAAAATACATTTTATAACAGTACTAGCATTGCCCGCGGCTCGGCCCGCGTTCAGATGACCAAAAAGCAAATTCTTGGGTTTTACATATTAGTATACTCTTAAAATGTAGTTTTTCCATCTTTTCTCAGAAATGAGATATTTTCCCGCGGTAAAAAGTATCCTATATGTTGACCCGGATAACCAGGTATACCAAACCATACCAAATTTCATCAAAATCCCTTCAGTGATTTTTCTGTGATGCGGTAACAGACAGACAAAAATTCTAAAAACTATAGATTCGGCCTCTGTATCGATAATAATGTCCGTTTCAATAAGATTTTCCAAAAAATATTTAATGTACAGATTCGGCTTTGTTACAGTTTTATTATATGTATAGATAATTCAATGCTTTCCATTAATAAGAATAAAAACATTAAATTGATTATCTTGTGTAATATTCTGAAGACTAACATAGAGTGTAGATAATATATAAGTAAAATCTTGCTATTGTGTTCTTGACAACTTATTTGGCTCAGTTTTTATTGACCCTACTTGCTGTGCCAGTGGTCGCGGGTTCGAATCCCGCTTGGGGCATTCATTTGTGTGATGAGCATAAATGTTTATACTTCAGTCATGGGTGTTTATATTTATAATATGTATGTATTGTAAGTTATATATGTGTAGTGTATCAACTATCTGGTATCCATTATACTAGCCTCGTAGCTTA